TGGGGGGGTTGTAAATGTGGACATTGTGAGTGAACTTTGATACGAGAGTCATCAAAACCATGATCATCCATACACCAACTTTTGAATGAATGGATCCAGAATAGAAGGATTCTCCGGTCCGTGCAGAAGTTATTTAGTGATTTGCAAAAGACGAGGTTCCATGTTGTTGAAGAAACGTGTATGGTGGTACGCATGGCGCTTTGTGTGCCTGATTTGTTGCTATAAAAGATCGGCTCTTGATTTCCCTTTTTTTTCTTTCTTTCTCCTACTTGTCATCTTTCTCTTTCTCCACACACACATTCACACGCATAATGACAACCAACCACATTCATCAACAACGCCATTATCATCATCATCCATATTCAACATACCAACAACAACATCATTACCAACATCGTTCGAAGCATGAGTCTGGTAAAATGTCATCATCGATTTGAGCGCGCAAAAGAAGGCCTATGCGAATGACTGATGTATATTTTTATACACACACAGTGCCTTTCCAAATCCACCCATCTACAGGTGCCATCACATCATCCAACGCACAATCCTGTCGATATGATTCTTCATTGGGGCTGTTGACTAAAAAGTTCATTGCGTTATTACGTTCCAGCGCTCATGGTGAATTGGATTTGAATCGTGCTGCAGCACAACTCAAGGTGCAAAAGCGACGAATTTACGACATTACAAATGTATTGGAAGGCATTCGGCTTATTGAAAAGAACTCAAAGAATCATGTGCGATGGATGTAAGTAATACCACATGGAGGATGTAGACACCCATCATCCTCTTGTATACCCCTTCCCGCGTGTATGTGCATGTATTGTTGCTCACGTTTAATTCACCCTGCAGCGGAAATCGTCATGCGACAGCATCATCATCATCATCATCACCAACATCCTCCATCACTACTACATCGTCCTCTTCATCTTCATCTTGCATCATGTCATCCAATCTAGACGAATTGGAGCACCGATTATCACTCCTAAAGCGGCACAATGTATCACTCGAGCGAGAACATGACCGATTGCATAGCATCAAGCAACATGTGGATCACGAGATCGAGGGGGTATTAAGGCGTCACAAGAACCATTGTTATCTCACCCTTGAAGACTTGGCTCAGTACCAGACAAAGTTAGCTCAAGAAGTTCTTGTGATCGTCAATGCTCCTTACAATACCGACATTACCGTTCACCAGCCGTCGTTGCCATCTACTTTGCTAAAGACACAACCAACCAAGGTATTTTTATTATTTACCCATTGATGGAAAGTGAAAATGATTGACATTTGAGATGTTGCTACGTTACCAGGTCAAGTGTTCTATCCGTGTACCGGATCATTCCAACCAGCCTCTTCAAGTTGTATCACTGAGACACACAAACTTATAACCAATACCACTTGTTTGCCCCGTTTTACATGTGTAAATCTCATCCTTTAGTCAGCCAGTACTAGTATATTTCTAGAGTCTTTTGAGAGCTGAGGTATATAAATGAGCGTATACATTGACACTTTTTTTTTCGCGCTCTTGTTTTCCCAATAAAGACAGATAATGGTAAAACGACAAAAAAAGAAACAACGAGTGTCTCCTGTAAAGAAAAAGGGGGAGGAATTGGCGCGTGAATATTGCATGGATGTTTTTGGATGAATGTGGTGTGTGAGTGAGAGCGTGTAAGAGTGTGAGAGTACTTAAATGTGTGCACTTTGTAGATCGATATGCGCAATGAGCAAAGCTGGACCCTGAAGTAGATGCAATGCATATGTACAAAAGTGCTAAACTAACGGGAGAAAGAGAGAGAGAGCGTATGTGTGTGTGTTTAGAGATCCAAATGCGCGCGCGCGCTTCAACGCAGGGTGCATTACACCTCGACCAAAAAAACAATAATGATAACCTGAAGGAGAAGGGGAATGACAGTAATGTCGTCAAAATAGGGTCACTTTGATATTGAAAACGACGTTCTCATTTCCGAAAGGGTTCTTTATTGAAAGTGGAAAACTGATCCACAAGGCAATGAATGATACCAATTGAGAATATTCTAAAAAGAGCGCGTAAATCATGTGCCAACGTGGAGAAGGGGGTGGTTGTGTGTGTATGTGGGTGCATAATGAGGATGGTGGTGGTATATTGCTTGGAGAAGGATGATACTCTGGGGAATCGTATGTGGTGAGTGAAGTGCATTCCAAGTAATACGTTTAGATGATATCCACGATTCTCCTTGTGTTCATCCGTCATTTAATCAATCCAAACGATTTACAAGACTAACGACTAAAAGGATGTCATGCATATGCTAAAGAGCACAAGCAAAAAGAGTCCAATCCAAAGCATAGCGACCTCCGACTCAATGGTGTCCCGCCCACTCACTCCCAAGTCAAAATATTGTACTTCTTTATCCGACACAACCCCGTCATGACAACACGCGACAACTATCCACCAGCAACATGGCCAGCATTACCCAACTTTGAACTCCCTGCAGCATTGGACTTTCTCAAATTGAAAAACTTCCCACTCAAAGTCTATCCAGCCGTTTACGATCGTCCCAAATTGCAGCATGACACGTTGTACATTCACGGCCCCGGTTGGAGAAAATCGAGTGCCAGCTTCGACGCCGATTGCTTACAGATTCAGGCAAGGATCGTCGCAACTCAATATTCATATGTCTTGCCACTCACACACGTGAGGATATCTTCTTGTAGATCTATCTCAAGTTTTGTGGGATCAACTTTGAAGTACATAACGGCAACGAGCCTCTCGCATCACCGTCAGGTAGGAGGAGAATCCAATGGAATTGGAAAGGAGGAAAGGGGACAAGTTGTTGAAGGATCCGGCAACGATGATGATGAACGATGGGATGGTGTCGATAATTGGTTAATGCCGAATGCTGATCATCCATTTAGGCAAACTCCCTTTCTTGGCTACTGTAACAGGGGCTATTTATGACAGCGATCGCATTCTGCAATGGGTGGATGAAATGGTAAGTTAATATAATGCATCCAGGTGACGCTCTTACTTACATTAAGTCATATACAAATTAGGACAAGGCCAAGAAACTCGCTTCCACAAAAGATCAAGAACAAGCAAAGGCTTTTATTGCACTTGCACGTACCAAATTACATGCAGCATGGGTAAGTAGGATACTTGGTCTATCAGAGTGAGAGAGAGAGGAAAAAGATGATCTCATCATGGGCTCTATAGCTTTTCTCTACATGGCTTGAACCTCTCAACTACTCAGAATACACCGCCGACGCCTATTTCAGTCATGTCCCTACTCCTGTGAACAAGCTATTAGCCTATCAAAAGCAAAACCAAGTGACTCAAACGTTGTTGACGGATCGCGATATCCTTGTTCGTGAAGAGGTTTGTAATGTCTTTGGATGGGTAAATAATGATCTAATCAACGTCTTTGTTAGGTCTATCATGACGCAGCTCAAACCTTGGAAGCTCTTTCAACAAAGCTTGGTGATGACAAGTACTTTTTTGGATCAACGTAAGTCTCCTGAAAAAGAAAGGACATGCGTATAACAAAGAAAGACAACTCATCTGGATGATGCGTCAACTAGAGAACCTACTTGGATTGATGCAGTGATCTTTTCGTACCTTCATGCTATCATGTCATATCCTACCATCCCCGGAAGCACATTGGGTGACGAAGAGAAGAAGCAAGCTGGTGAGCTAAGAGCTCTCGTTCGCAAGCATGAAAACCTCGTTCAGTACGCCAAAAACATATATGAAACATGGCTTAAATAGATGGATGGATAGTGTACATATTTACATTGCTGATTACATACAGCTACACAGCTTTATTGTTCTTTGCTTTGTTTTTCTTTTTCTTTTTCTGATTGGGTTGGCTGCTTTCATTCTGATCTACTTTGCGTTTGTTTGATTGATTTTCTGGTTCGGGGACAATGAAATCCATACGAATAGCAGCGTTGAGTGTGCTTTGTCGTGTTTCTATATATAATTTCTTAGCTGATGATGATCTCCCATAAAAGACATTCCACAATATACCTGCTTTTAGCAACAAACGTTGACAGTTTTGGCTGACAGCTGCTTCAACTTGGGTATGGGACATGCCAAGTAATTGACCACTAATCAAACATGATAATGAGTTTCTCGATGGCCTTGCACCTATTTCGAAAGAGTACTCACAACATCTTCATATCATTTGCGCTACGTAGTTCAAGAGCTTGCAATGCATCGCTTGAAAAGATGATGTTATCCCCTCGTGTAACTTCAACCAATCTCTTGACATTTGAAAAGAAGGTGTTCCTATGGTGTGCAGCTGAATGCTATTTGTTGGTCTCAAGATATCCAGCATCCATCACTACGTATCCCACTTACTTCGAAATGCTGGGGCGTAACAAACCTCAAAAAACATGCCACGTTGAATAGCTAATTGTGCAGTTGCGTGATTGGGTACTACGTGCTTTGCATGAAAATCGAGGGAGATAATATCGGCGTCGTAGGTTTGACAGGCGTGTTTGGTGGCCTCCAATGTCATGGGTCGTACAGCTAAGATATCCACATTCTTATTGGCTATATTGTTGGTCATCTAAAGTATACTTTCATGTGAGATGAAGCCTCCATCATGCGATGCATCGTATTTACTTTACCAATTGATAGTTCTGTTTTGGATCAGTGACTTGGATGGTAACACGCTTGAGTTGTTTAATGTTGGGAAATCGATCGGTTGCTATGGGTTCGATGGACTATGATACCTATCTCAGTATACATATCATGCATGGATACCACGCTCTCGTACCTGTACTGAATTGGAGGTAAGAGGTTCGTTGCTGGTGATACTCAACGCGATCGTTGCATTCTGAGCTATGTAAAGCGACGTGTTAGATCTGGGGATCGGTTGCCATGGGGGGTTGGCGACAATGGCGGCTATGCTTACATGACTGAATCCTTGCGAGGATATTTTCTACTTGAGTACGTTCATTGTATGGAATATTAAAGTCAAAGTACATGTTGGTAAGGGCTGTTGAGAAACAAGTGGGATATCTTGCAGTCACCCTCCTGCTTTAAATTTACTCTTTCTCTTTTTGTCGACACACCTACTCCTCCAGCATATACCTTGACATTCACCATGAACGGGCAGCGAGTCTTTGTCCTCGGCACTCAGCAATGTCGACGATTATTATCAACTAGCACGATACGCTATTCACTCGGCAGACCCAATGCGTTAGAAGGTGCCGCTGGTCCACGAAAGAAGAAGATCGGAAAGACTGACTGGAGTCGTCCTCAACAACAGCAGAAACAAGGTCAACAGCAGCAAGGTTCAAAGCGTAACAAGGTGCCTGCAAAACGCGACTGGAGTCGACCCTCTGATATCGAATCCAAGAAACCACCACAGCAACAGCAACAACAACAGCAACAACGTGATCAACGACGAGAGCGCAACAAGAAACGAGACGAAGAAGTTGCATTGTTTATGAAACAGCAGGAAGCTGAAATGCAAAAGTACAAGGCCAAACAAAAGTCCAAAGCACAAGAGGAGAAGCAAGTGCAGGATGTGTATATTCCACATGTCATCAATGCGGCCAATTTATCAAGACTCTTGGGTGTAAGATTAGGTATGCGTATAAACAAAGTACATAGGATTGCATACTAACAACATCCTTAATTGCATAGAGCACCTTATTCGGACCATGGAAGAGCTGGAAATGGATAATGTGTCACATGATCGCAGTAAGTGAATGCATGCATAAGCATGTTGTCATTGATTTACTTTTACTCAATTTGTATACAAAAAAAAGTGCTCTCTGCCGATGAATCAAGTTTAATTGCAATGCAGCTGGATATGAACCCTATTGTGGATGAACGACAAGCTCTTGACTTATATCCAAGGTATGATGGATGATGATGATGATGAAAAAGAGGGTAAGTTCATCCAAGCTAAAATAACATTTGTATAGACCTTTACCTACTGATATGAGCAATTTGCCGAATCGACCTCCTGTGGTCACCATCATGGGTCATGTTGATCATGGCAAGACGACTTTGTTGGATACATTACGCAAGACATCGGTTGCTGCTGGTGAAGCTGGTGGAATTACACAACATATTGGTGCCTTCTCAGGCAAGTATGATTACTACATGGATCAAAGTTAAGAGGCTGACTTTAGACTTTTAGTGACATTACCTTCAAAAAAGAGCATCACCTTCCTTGACACCCCTGGTCATGCCGCCTTCTCTAGTATGCGTGCTCGTGGTGCCCAAGTTACCGATATTGTCGTTTTGGTGGTGGCTGCTGATGATGGTGTCATGCCACAAACACGTGAAGCCATTGAACATGCACAAAGCGCTGGTGTACCCATTGTCGTTGCTATCAACAAGTGTGATAAACCTGGTGTGGATTCCTCTCGTGTCAAGCAAGACTTAGCACGTTACAATGTGCATTTGGAAGAGATTGGTGGTGATGTGCCTGCTGTGGAAGTATCTGGATTGACGGGCAAGAATCTCGATCAACTTGAAGAAACCATTGCCACTCTTTCAGAAGTATTGGAACTCAGAGCTGAGCGTATCAATGGTGCTGAAGGTGTGGTGATTGAATCACAAGTGGAAAAGGGTCGTGGCAATGTTGCAACCGTGTTGGTGCGTCGTGGTACTCTCAAACCTGGATCAACTGTGGTGGCAGGCCAAACATGGTGCAAAGTGCGATCTATGACTGATCATCAAGGAAAATCTCTCAAGGAAGCTCCTCCTGGTACACCCGTCAAAGTGACAGGTTGGAAGGAAGTACCCATGGCTGGTGATGAAATGCTTCAAGCTAAGGATGAGGTATGATTGAGGATAACAAAAGATAAGGATCTCTTATTTATTTATTGGTGATGGTAGGGTATGGCCAAGACTGTAGTGGATAATCGTAAAGCACGCCATCAACGTGAGCAGCAACTACGTGACTTACAAGTGATCAATGAGAAGCGTCGTCAACAACGTGAATTATTGGAACAAGAACGTATGGTGGAGAAGGAATACAAGAAGGAGATGTACATGTTCCAACAAGGATTGATTGATTCGCCCCCTGAATCCCTCGGCAAACGTCTCAGCGCCATCCAAGCTTCATTACAAGATGATCAAAAGATTGAAAAGAAGGATGACATGCTCGAATATCGTGCTGTGGTCAAAGGTAAATGGATCATTTATTGGATCAAGGGACACTTACTGATTATTATTATGTATGTTCAATAGGTGATGTGAGTGGCACCGTCGAAGCCGTTGTCGATTGTTTGAATGGTCTTCAAAACAAGCAAATTCGTGTCAAGGTCGTCGAGAGTGGCGTGGGCAATATTACCGAGGGTGATGTGCAACTAGCAGCTGCTTGTGAAGGCCATGTTATTGGTTTCAATGTCAAGGCTGATAAGAAGATCCAATCCGAAGCCAGCAAACGTGGTGTTGGTGTGCGTTCATACTCGGTCATTTACAAGCTTCTCGAGGAAGTCAAGGATCAATTAAGTGACATGTTGCCTCCTATCTTGTCGACGCAGGTCGTTGGTGAAGCATCCATTTTACAAATCTTTGATATCAGTATCAAGGGCCGTGAAACGCGTGCTGTTGCTGGTTGCCGTGTCACCAATGGTGCCATCCAAAGAAACGGTCGTGTACGTGTTGTGCGTGATAAAGAGACTGTATGGGAAGGTAAGCTGTATGCCAAAAAGTTGAATTGGATCATTACTTATATTTATCTTGCTAGGTGAATTGGACGCATTACGGCAAGTCAAGAAGGATATCATGGAAGCCAAAAAGGGATTGGAATGCGGCATGTCATTTGAAGGTTTTACCGGTTTCAAAGTGGGTGATGTTATTCAGAGTATCCAAACGATAGAAACCAAGCAACGATTATAGGTTAGGAATAGAAGCAATATAAAAACTAATTCATGCAGACCAAATTTGTCAGAGTCTATTTATTGAGCAAATGTACATAAGAGAAGAGAGAGAGAGAGAGAGGGCTGTGCTGTATACAGTATTCAAGTGCCTTTTTATATGAGATCACCCGTGTGTGAATTACCATGATCCCCATCGTGTGTAAGAATAGGAGGATTCCATCTTTCGACGAACGTATGCAGGAATGCTATGGGATAGCCACATTTGTCGGATTTGTTCGTATCGTTGTGGGTTAAGGAATTGTGGTGTGCCACGTCTACCCATAGACAAAATGATCAGCATTGTGAAAAGATTCCATGTGTTGAATGTTTTACCTGAGGAAAAGATCAACCTCACCGTGGATATCAAGGTAAGGTGCACTCATGATACTTCCACCATCCGCATGCAAGAGTAAGATAAAGGATTCCTTGACTACCAGGAAGATACCAATATCACCACTGCACCTATTATATCGTGACATGTGTAAGGAAAAGTGGATGTATAAGAATAAGGGAAACTTACTTTTTCATATGCGTGTTACATTCACCACGACCATTTTCAGTGCAACAATAGCGTCGTGCACAGACAAATGTGCCACAAATGAGACACAATGCAGGATACTCAGGTAGATTTCCACACTTGCGGCATACGCGACGAGCACTGTCATCGAAAAGCTTATCCATGCGATAGGGAAGCGATACCAGGTACGAGGGTGTTGGTAAGCTAAGTAAAGGCCTGGCTACACTGAGACCTTGCTGAGATTGTTCACTGTATTGACGACACCAGCCTGTAACCAGAGTTTGCTCATAAGCTTGGAGATTGAAGATATCAGGGAACATGGGAAGCTTTAGAATGTGCAATAAACGATCATATTCGTCTCCAGTGAAATCTTGGCTGCTTTGGTTTTGAAGAATGAAGCCATGATGGACAACCATAAGCAACAATGACTTGCGAAGATAGGGCATAGTGAATGTGCGAAGCAACGAAACAAAGACATTGGGTGGATACACGGCAAAGAAATCTTCGACAGTTGTGGCGGGGATACCAACCAGGGCTGCCACATTCGATGCAAATGCACGTGCCGCCTCTGCCGATGCTTGATGTCCAGTCGCATTTTGCTTGAGTTGCTCAAATGTTTCATTGACGCGTGGTGTTGAGAGTGAATCCTTGCCAAGTCCTTGTAACAATCCAATGGTCACCTTGACAAGTTCGGCAATATACAACAAGCGTAGAATGTGATGGGGCTCGAGTTTATCTTCACCAGCACGTGCAGTGACAAAGCTGAGACGCACAAGGATATGGAATGGATCATCAGCCAAAAGAGGCTTGCATAATACATCACGCTCGTATGCATCACCAGGTCCTGGAGCATTCTCCTCGTAAAATACTTGACGCAGTATTGATAAGGAAATTCGTTGCAATGTAAATCGATCATCCGTGACCCAACGTGTGTTCATAATAGTGGGCATCAGCTCGCCAGTCTTTGCCAAGATCTTGAGCAACATTTGGCTTTGTGATGAAATGTCATCCAAAAAGGTACCCGTGTGCTCCACTTGTACGTCACGTGCACGCACGCCATGATCACCACGTTGTGCCACCTCAAGCGTCGTGAGTGCGTATACATACATGTTGTAAAGATCGATGATGGAAGATCGCAATTCTGAAAATGATACCATTTCATGGATAATGGAATTGGCACCCTTCTTCATAGCTGTGCGTAATTGATTGTATAAACGTCGCAATCCATCCAAATCTTCAATATCGACATCGGGATCATTACGTGGATCATCTTCATCTTCAACCATACCGCCAGGGATTGGCTGTGGTGGTCCAATGTCATTTTCCAATCGAGCCATGAGTCGCTTTGCAGTCTCGCCGAGATCTTCGTATGGTGTCTTGGTAGCCATAGGACCAGGATAGGATTCCTTTTTACCCTTCCATACAATAGGAATCAAGACATTGCCAAGTGCTTTGCAAAGTGGACACAAGAATTGCTTGTGACGAAGCTGAGGAACAATATTTCGAATAGGGTTGATGGTATCGCTGTCGACTGATTCTTGGTATCCGTTGAAGCAGTGTGCATGCATTAAATGGCCACATGTGGAAATGTGTAAACCATCAACATGCGAATCCATAGGAAAACCACGATACGCAGATTTCTTGTTGGGTGATGCTTCCATATGCTCGCTCCATGTACCTTTGCCTTGTGCCGTCTCAAAGATATCCACCAACACATCCGCATTCTTCATGGGTGTATTACGCAATGACTTGGATTTCTGTACCAATCCCAAAACGCCGAATAATCGAGATCGATCAAGCTCTTCTTGACAAACAATGCAGGTACCAGAAGGGAAATGGCACGTGCGCTCCACATCCTCGTCTTCACCAATAATCTCAGGCTGATCAGTCATCATCTCATCGCCGTTATCCCCTTGAAGATTCTCATCATCCTCATCCTCATACAAATCAGCATGCTGTGACATGAACTGAGACTGTGCTTGAGCGAATTGAGCCATAATCTCGGCTTGACGTGCTTTCGCCTCGGCCTTTTTGCGTTCATATTCTGAAAGACCAGCTTTTTCTTGTTCAGCAGCCTTGTCTTGGGACTTTTGATGTGTTGCTCGCCAATCAGCAATCATTTCTCGGGCAGCATCCGATCCTTGCTCAAAGATCTTGTCGACCAAAAAGTTGCAACGCTTATGTGTATGCGAAAATTCACGATCACCCAAGAAACGCAGTAACACGGTCAACAACGATACATGCTCACGCTCAAATCCACTGACGATAGGATACTTGTTCTCCACGGCATGTTGCACAAATCCACCATCAATCTTAGGTCCATCATTACGGTATTTGCCCTTGATCAAAGCTCGTTGCTTTTCATACACCTCGTTGTTCTCATCGGTGACGGCTAATACTGCCAGGTACAATGCATGATCCAGGATAAGCTCGCTTGTAGCCTTTGATGTGCGAGAATTCCATAAAGCGTACAAGACAATCTGGCATAGCAAATGCGAGTGTAAAAAGTTGCCAATGTGCTTGAAAGGACCCGACTTGATCTTGCGAAGGCGAGGCAATAAAAAGAATTCGTCTTTTTCAGCCTTCTTCTTTTCATTGTTGGATAACGATTGATTCTCTCGGCTGCGAAGTTTCTCGAAAGCCTCCTCTCGTTGATTGCGTGAAAAGTGCCAAAAGTAGGGATCAATCTCGCAATAATATTCATCCTTGAGCTCGTATCGGCCGTGATCATTCAATCCAGCAGGAGCCTTGTAAGTCGACAAGCTATGCAAATGTGTCTCAAAGGACTCGTGTTCGCTCAAGCTATCAGGGAGCACCTTGACAAGTTCAGAATAGGCCATACTTGATAGACCAAGATACTGGATAATGGCTCGGCGGATCTTATCTTCAAGTGGCATACCAGAAGCAAAGCCACGCTCAGTAGCAGCAATGATCAAGTAATCGAGGAACTCTTCCACCACAAGGGCTATTTGTGTCTGATCATAGTATGGATGTGATTTGTCGGGATGTCCATTGAACCAATCGCTGAGGATGAATCGATCAAGCATTGTCAATAGCATGAGATTGGGTTCGGCAACAGTGAGTGCCACTTGTAGCAGATACAAATCGCAATCGTATGTCTTTTCACGCACACTAACATCTCGATAAGTGCGAGCCTATCAAAACATATATAAATCAATACCTCGCTCATATAACCCTATCATCCCTCACCCTATATTTACCTGATTGCGAATACCAAATCCATTTCGAACCCACACACCACAATTGACTTGTGCTAACAATGCACGTACACGTAATGGGTATTCCATGATCGCCATGAAAACATCATGATCCATGTGCTGTTGTTCACTGAAATGGTTGATGAGACCTTTCAGATTGCCTTTCCATCCCAATTCAGCAATTGCTTCATCCGTCAATAGATCCACGTGCTCCAGCATTCCGGATAATAACCAATGGTAAGGATGATGGAATGATACAGGCTCCGCAGCGATGTCGTATGAAACAATAGAATAGGTTCCTGCATGCAATGCCTCCACAGTCTTGTACTTTTGTTCTCGAACACCCTTGATAATCTCATAATCATGTTCAGTGTTTCCTTCAGCTGCACGAGGAGCCCAATCGACAATAGCCTTGAGAACACGTGTAATGGATCGGCAAAGAGTACGTGTGCCTTCAAGTGAGGGTGTGGATGTCGAAAGAGGTGCAAAGCAATCAGAGAACAATTGGCAAAGCTTCGATACTTGTAATGTGGCATTGAATGCACCCACCCAAGTCGTAGATTCGTATTCAACATGGACACTTCCACTGCGTACAAGAGGATCCATAGCTTGGAATTGATAAAGCAGATCAAGGAAATGGCGTAGGTACAATGGACTTTGACAAATATCAGGTTTGACGAGATCGGTGTTGAGCACATAACGTAGATCATAGAATGTCACTGCAAATCGTGGTCGTCGGATAGCACGTGATCCACAATTCACTTGTAAATGATGATATTGTTCGGGAAGCACAAGATGAATACGATCCGTCAAGAAGAAATTGGCGAGGATGGAGCACACCATAGCAAAGAACTTGTATTCTCGCACCAATAATGCTGCCACAGTAGGCACCGTCAACAATTGCACCGATAACGTTCCCACAGAGTGCTCTGGTTCACGATCTTTCAAGAAAAAGGCATCGAGTAATTCAGGATAGTTGCGTGCAAATCGAATACCTAAGCAAATGTATAAGTAACAATGAACCATCCTACTTTCAACCTTGTAATCCTTACCAATAATTGGACGATAGTCATAATTGGATACCACTGTACCAATCAAAAGATCTTTGATGCTTGCACGAGCTGATTTCCATAGACGTAAATCATATTGCATGAGATAATCAAGACGCAACTTGCGATTGAATTCTTTCTTGACGTGTTTGTTGGCAGCAGCTGCTGAATCGGAATTGTTGATAACAGGGATACCCAACTCTTGTGCAATAGCCGCTTCATCAGCATCCAATTTTTCTGTATAGCGTAGCCATTCGTTGAAGCCATTGCTAAGGTCGATAATGTCATGGGTGTATTGCTGAGAATGTCTACGTTGATGTTGAGAAGAGCTGGATTGATCTTGATTTGCCGAGGATGTATGTGTTGGTTGTGATGGTGAAGAATGTCGGTGTGGAGAATTGGCAATGTTTGTGCGTTGAGTAGGTCTCTCGTGTTGGTCTTCCAAATCTTCAGCTCCATGCATCTCCACATCACCATCTGATTCCTCATACGCATTATCATCATGGTTGTCATCATCTTGGCTGGAATCATCATCATCGTCATCGTCGTCGTCATCCTCATCCTCTCCTTGAACATCCATCCAAATATCCTCATCATTGGCTGCTTCGAATACTTGAGTGATCAGTTCGTCATCAAGCTCAATCATATGTGCTGCTGCCATCATGTCGTCATCATCATTACCATCATTATCTTCATCGAGATCGGGACCTTCGTCTCCAAAGTCGTCCAAATCACCCAAATCATCAACATCTGACATTGGGCCGCGACGCGTACGAATCGATAATGCTGCAAGATCAGGGCGTAAAGACCATTCTTCGCATAAAACCTCGCAAATGATATCACGAATGATGCAATTGCCTTTTTCCACATTGCTGAAAAACGTGTATCGTCCACTCGTCAATTCCTTGAGCCAATCCAATAGTAATCCGCAAATCTCCTCACGCACCGTATCTTTGCAAGATCGAATGGTGACAGCCAATTTGATACTGCTGATGATTCTACCGATCTGAACAAGCTCATCAAGGTCACTGGAAGTTGCCACAATATAACGACCATACGCATCGACGGTTTCTGCAGCTGCTGAAGCTTGAGATGTGGTGCATTTGATGGCTCGTTTGACGACTTCGATCACTTTATCAAAGGTATGCGTTTCATCATTCCACAGGATACAAGCGTACAATTCTTGATCATTGTTGCCTCCATTTGGCATACGTAAAGCTCTGTCGGTTGCTTGAGCATCTTGTCGAATGTCGTCAGGGTCGCCAAACTTTATATTTTCTGGTGAAGCGGCAAAGGTCTCGAGGACATAATCCATGACGGTGGAGATAGTATTCTTGATTTGAGATATCAATGCGGGTGGTATGGATGAAGTTGGTTCCAATGGTTGTAATGATTCGCCTGATTCTGAAATGGATCGAGCTGCCGAGAGCGAATGGATATCACACACCAAAGGTACTTTCCATGCTTCTGGATCACCACAATCACAGCATCCGCCTGAGCCACGACTGATCCAGATCTTCACATCGTGTCCTTCATGGTTTGTAGCATGAAAGCAACGCGAACAAAGAACGCAAGTGTCGTCAAGTCCGCAGTTTCTTTGTAATAGAGTGAATAAATCATCCCGATGACTTCCGTAAGTGCGAATAATGAATGAATGACATACCTGCATCGATAGACACTCTCGCCTCGCTTAAACAAGTGGCCACATTGCTTTCCACGTTGACTTTCCCAATACTCGGGCTCATCGTCTGTTGGATCCACAACCACATTGTCTGGATTGGCTGGCACTGTTGACTTTTGCTGATCTTCGCGTTTAAAGAGGTTGTACTTTTCGAGCAAGGCTGACAAATTGTCTTGATCAGAGAGCCCTTCCTTGAAAAAGTACTTTTGCATCCACTCGGTATTGTTGCCCCATAGCATGCGATAGCAGTTGGTGAGGATTTGTCGTTCAGCACCTGGATGCAGCCGGTAATTGTACATTGCGGGTGCTTCCACAAGGAATGTCTTTAGCTGTTCCACACTGAGAGGCGTTGTCGCAGTGTCATTGCTGCCTTGTCCAAAAGCTGCAAAAGAACTCGAGGCCGACATGGCTTTTATCGTTGTTGTCTCCACGGAATATTCCAAGCCGAGTTGGTTGGTTGAATGGGTGGGGCGATGGTGGTGAGGTGAGTGGAAAGCTGCGGGAAAGAAAAAAGACACACTCGCAAAGCAACCTTGGTGCATTTTGAGCGGACTAACAACCTTAGAGCAAATCCGCCCATGCTACTACTACGACACGCGTGACTATTTCAAATCTTATGGGGATTATCGCATCATCGACAATGGGGTCTGCAAGTGCATTGAAACATGGTAATATACATTGATTACTAAGACACTACGCTGCTGCTACTAATACAACTACAACTTGGAATACTTTGCAGGCTGCTTGGTCACGAAGGCTTGAACGGAGTTGGGGATATCCTAATAATGCATAGAGAGAGCTATTAGTATCATCATCATCATCATCCATAGATAGTGTACATGAAAAAGAATAAATCCATACTTCAGTGTTAAGCATTGCAGAGCTCCAAGTAACGGTATAAGCCAATCCTTCGGCAACCGAATGGTCACGCGAGTAATTGAGGAGATGTCTATTGCGCCATTCATGTTAATGTCTCTCTCATCCTCCCATTGTATTCCCGCTCCAAGTTGATTGACTCACTTGGTTCCCAAAACAGCGACAGGGGATTTGGATGCAATCAAACGTGCGGTCTTAAATGCTTCATCTATGAAACCCAATGCTGATAAGTAAAAGAAAAGCCTACCAGAGAAAAAGGATACTTGTATAAAGAAACTTACCCAAAGCCTGTTCCTTGGTATCTAGCACCTTGCTCACTACACCTTCACGCAAAAGCTCATCCGACTTGACACTATCATCATACAATAAGAAGATATTCATCAAGAGGGCAAGTAGACATATACTTACTTGCGAGCTGTGAGACATACATCACGCACAAAGCTTTGGTTGCCGATAATCTTTTGCAAACGTTGAAGCGTACCCACATCAGCAGCAAGACCAACATCGACTTCCTATATTAAAATCGATTAACGTTCCTGTTCTTTCGTTTCAAGAGACCATGCCAATGATGTGCAACGTACCTTGACACAAAAGTAGGCATCCTTTGTGCAATAACGAATATCAGCAGCGGTTACCATGTCAACACCAGCACCGATACAGCCATTATGGACCACAGCAATGACAGGCTTTGCGCACTCTTCAATAGCAGTAAACGCGCTTTGGAACCACTACATAGTTTCATCACCATGCATGAGTACATATCCTTGGATACCAAATGCAATGTAAACATCTACCTGCAAATGATGTCGCTTAGCGTACGTCAAACGAGCAATATCACCATTGCTTTTATCCTTGAGTTGGGTCTCGCTCAAATCCAATCCAGCCGTGTACAGTCTACCAGCACCTGAAAGCACAATGGCGCGCACGTCTTGGTCATCGGAAATAGTACGGAACACATTGAGCACGTCGCCAATGAGTCTAATTAGCAACAAGCAACAACGAAGTCAACGATTGCGTTTTTCAAGTTGAATAAAGCTGCGGCATTTACTGGTTGTTGAAAGCATTGAGTTTCTTTGGGCGGTTGAGCTCGACATGGGCGACGCCATCGGGATGCACGGTGACCTTGACGGTTTCGAATTGGTAGTTTGGCATGTTATGGGATAAGGGATATCAAATCAAATGATGCGGGGTAAGCACATGAAAAGCGGGCGGCCCTTATATGCATTGCAAATCAAATGGCATGAGTAAGCCAAATTCAATTGTGCTGAGTTTAACCGACCAAGTTGTACCTCTCGAGAACTGTCAAATCCGCATGAATAAGCCAAATCGACGCGATTGTGTAAGAAACTTGACTAATGGTATCGGGTAAACGTCAACCTCATTGTCATACTTGGCTATCTCATCACCATTACCTTCATCAACAAGCGCGTATTAGTGTACGGCTGCTTCTTGATCTTTGATCTAGGCTATAATAAAACATGGCTTTTCAAATACACGTCTGGATCCATAGCGCTAGAAATCCATTACCACACACACACACACATAATCATGCTAGGGAAATCTATGCTGTTGATAGTAAGAAGTCATTGGTTGTAGTATAAGGCATTCAACAATGGCGTCATCCTTCATTGTTTCATTACTCTAATCAACGTCTTTCATTGTGGATCGTGGTTGAATGCTCGTCATGAGCAAACTAAGGTGGAAAGAGGACTCTAAGCCAATGACTTTTTCTCTTGCTAAGTAAAAGTGGTCGTCGACGACAATGCATTTTGAGATTTTTATGATCTCAGCCTACTATATAACCATACGCCGCATGAAAGTAACTTGTAATTTGAAAAGGAACATGCCCTTTGGTCCCAAGGTGCATAGATCAGCTTAAGAGTAAATGCAGAGGTTCAAAGGGCCATGTTTCGAACCATGCAGTATTCATAACAAAGGGAGTTTGGAAGATGCAATAATATGCAGTAGAAGCAGGTTGTTTGTAAGAGAACGCCCATTGGCGCACAAAGTGTGTCGAATTGTGGGATGATGTTCCTTACAGAAGTACCACGTATATCACATGAGATGTGCGCGCGCCAAACTTTGTCAAAAGGTCCCGTGATTTGATAACCCCTGCAAAAACAAACATGCATGCCAATGCAGCCTCCAACACACTGACCATGGCAAACTGGAACCCGCTCCCATCTGATGCACATTCTTGACATTGATAATCTAGATCACCTGCAACAACCGCTTGTCAATTGAGGACAACATTTTAAATGAAAAACCCGCATGTACGCAATCGTCAAAGATGCAAAGCCCTGTGAAACAAGCAAACACCATCCACCCCATATACATCTTGAAAGATGATGCACTTTGTTCGTATAGTAGATACACCTTTTCAAACATCTTGATGCAATCCTCGGGCAAAAGCTATATACAATGCGTCCTTTTGTTTGTGTATGTTTATGCGACATAGCTAAAGAGACCGATGTATGTGTTCCAGATGTTTAGATAACTTTTATTTTTTCATCTAATGAACGTAACAGTCGCACAGGTATGTTTCCAAGAGATGGTAATAAGAGCCATGGGTATGAAATGAGTTTCAAGCATGCTAGTAAAAAGGTTTATATGTACACTATGTGGTAATGTATGAGGGGGGAAACAATGCTACAAGAGGTGGGGGTAGAAGCTTTATGTTTACAGCAGCTTGTCGACAACACTCAATGCAACAAACACCACCACAGTGCAAACAGGTACACAAACGACGCCATAACTCCAAAACAGCATCCGTAACATCTCCTCTTCAAAAATGGCATTCACTTGAGTAATCTGCACGAGGTTGATGGCTGTTGGTGTACATCCAAGGACGATCATAAGCGTAATAAATACAGGGTCGCTGGCAAGGAGACTCCATTGTGATCCATAGATGACGAATGCGCAAGTGATTGGAACGCTAAAGCAAGCCATGATGATCACACGCACCAAAATAGCAACAAAAACAGGTTTTTTCATGGCTGGTGATGCTGGTTGTTGCGATTGTGAAATGATTGTCAGCTGAGCACCCAAACATGTCAAGATCAAAGGGACTGCGGCGCGACCACACGATTCAATTGCCTTTGTAAAGCAAGGATAAAGGAAGGAGTCCTTATCGTACATGACGTGTTTGAGAGGTGACAATCCAACAAGCAAACCGAGAAACGCCGCATAAAGGGGTGGCGACATGAAACTATGGATACGCATGATCGCTTGAATAACAATACCCTTAAAAGACAAGGATTGTGTGGGCGATGATGGCGATGTACTCGTAGGCAACAATGAGCTGGTTTCTTGATTTGCCTTGGCTTTGATACCATCCTCTGGTTGGATTGCAGCTGTCAGCGTAGTCGAGCTCAAAGTACGATCCGGCATTTGACGACGACCTTGTTCTGCATCGTTTGTTGCACCATAGTTTGTGGCTGACGATGCAGATGAGGAACGACCCGAGGCACCGTCATCGATGTTGTTGTTGAATTCCTCTTCGTCCTCTGGAAGTTTCTGTAAAAGGCTGTATCCGTAGGACCAACGCAGCAAATTGCCAAAGATAGCAAAGAACAAAATGTACGAGACACCTCTGTAAAAGTGTTTAGAAAGATCCATGGATCGATTAGCTCCCTTCCAGTGTTTCTCCCGATAGCCACACCCTTCCATATATGCATGGATTAACTCCAACCTTACCTTGCTGCAACCGATTCTTGAGTATCTTCCTCGTTCCAAAACAATGTCTTGCCTGCTTCTGAGACAGCCAAACTAGTAATAATGGCGATCGGTAGCGAATTGGTGTTGCCAAACATGGCACATGCTAGCACAAAGCGGCGATAAGGTGCATTTAACCCGAATAGATGTCCCATCAAATTGCCCATTGTAAATGTCAACGTTGCGTACACAGCAAAAAAGGCTGGGATGGGCCAGAATGCCAAGAGATGCTCCATTGAAATAGTCGATGCAATATTGCTAAACATCAGGCACGGCGTGAAGAACACAAGATTCAATTTGGATAGCCACTATGCCAAGAAATCAGCCATTGAACGAATCATGAATTGAATACCATTTACCTTTTGCTTGTCATTTGTGAAGAATCCAAGTTTGGTGAGGCAAAAGCCAAATAGCACCACCACCATGACTTGTAGAACAGCCTGGATGAGAAGCCATTGAGTATATCGCATGGCATGGATCAAATCATCCACCTCACCTGAATAGCTGAAATAATGAGCAGCAACATCACGACAATAAATAATATAAGAAAAAAATGTTGTCGGAGGGCGGGGAGAGTAATGAAAGCGATCGATATCGGCACCTCTTTTTATAAACGCGATGAAGGGATTGCGAAAACAATGAGCCAATGAGATCCGATTCCTGTTCCCTGGTGAAAGCTGTGTTCTCCACCCTTCTTCCCTCTCTCTCACACATTTGTTTGTTGTTTCATACTGCCGCCCTTTCCCAGTTTCCACAAAAGAACACCTGGTGCTGTACGCATGAGCCAATTTGTGTTTCGGTCACATGTGGAATATGTTCTTTTTTCTTTCTTGTGTTGCAATAGACAAAGAGGAGGAGGTGGAGGTGGTGGAGGATGAACAATTACCCAACAATCAACTATATCTCATCTAGGCAGACTTGAACAGCAAGATAGCGATTTGACCATGGTAAAAGTAGATAAAGTGCTTGGATTCTACAATATAGGATCTATATCAATATACATCTCCCCTCATCTCGTATCCATGTCAACCAAACATACCATGCGTAACAAAGCTACCAAAGTTGCGACCGACTACACAATGCCAGGTGGTGCCTAGAGATAACAATGAAAAAAGAGCATGTGAGTTTCCATGTCAACAACAAGAATAGGAGAACAAGATGGCCCTGTGCTACAACAAGAGCCATTCATCACCATCCCCCCCCCTTTGGCAGAATCAACCAAACAACAATACATACCATACTTCTTGTCGAATTCGCGTTTGATATGAGCTGCAATATCCTTTTCAATGTTGAACTTTTCCAGAGCTTGTGTGCTGCACTCGATAGCCTCCTGCTGCATCTCATCGCTCATGTCGGCGCTCTTGATGACGGCCTTGGTATCAGACATGGTGATAATCTAGACACGTTGACAACCCAAGTGTTAGCAATGAAGGCTCCATTCGCGCGGGGTTCCAGATCCATTGTGATCCGCGTCATGCCAACCCATTCACGTTGTGTATAATAAAGGACACGCTTCCAACTTACATTGTATTAAGAGCAAGTGGTATCGGGAAGGAGAAGAAGGTTGTTATTGTTGTCGAGAAGAGAGGAGAAGACGAGAACGCTTTGTAAAAAATGGCATCCTCCCTATGTCCTCCCACGTGTGTGACGTACACGGGCTGTCCGAACTTGTCGAGAAGCACATCATCACATCATCGATATCTCTATCTTTCTTTACTCCCAAATGTCAATGACGACAGTAAGCAGCTCATCCCTGGAAATGACGTTTGTTTTAGGGAGAAAGGGGTAAAAACGGATAAGCCAATGTGTAAAAAAAGAAAAAGAAAGAGAGAGAGAGCGAGGTGCACAGCAACAAGGAGATCAAAAGAACGTGATCCCAGTTTCCTGTTTGATAGACATGATCCAAGTTGAATCAAATACACACACTCACATTCATATTCTTAGGAGGAACGTGGGAAGGAAGGGTTAGCTAAGCTTTTAGTTGCTTCTTTGTGTGGCGTAAAAAATGTTGAATGGACCTAGATCCCAATTTGCTTTTAAGGAAATCATGCACACGTTTAATCATATCGTGCTCTTTGTCCCACATGCATACGTGTATCAGGATCAGTTTTGAATAGTTGTTGTAATATGTAATGAATAATGCAAATAGCTATATAAAGATAATTACATGGGTTGGGTAGGCAGGAAGATGATCTCTATCAATGATATACAAAGCATATGGTGAAATAGAATAGAACACAAATAAGATAGATAGTAGGAGCCAGCAACTTGATGACAAAGGAGGAAAACGAAAGGAATCATAGTAAATGCAGGGATAGGAATCACAAATCTGTCATGTGCAAAATGTTGTGTGTGTGCGTGTGTGTGTGAGAGTGTGTGTGTTGTGAAAGGATGAGTAGTGGATGGTGTAAAAATAGATCAATCATCTGCGGCGCAATGTTGTGCCATGGCCTGTGCGCCGTGGATATCGTTCTGATGAGGTGGATCTCTTACGACCGCGACGCATGTTATCTACTTTATCCATTAATAAACTGCCCAAATGGAAAGAACCACCACCACCCGTCATCGTGAATCTCCGCAACTTACCATAAGATAAGATACCCAGGCTTGTAGTAGTAGTAGGAGAGACATCTTCATCGTCATCATCCTCTTCGCCAGGATGTTGTTGTAAATGGCCTAGCATTCGATCCTGGTGCTCTTTTTGTAGCATGGGTTGAAGAATACGTCGTCGAGCATTGATAAACCAATTGCTAATCTGGTTAAGCGTGAGATTGGTTTGTTGTGCGAGAGCCAGCTTCTCGTCTTCGGTTGGATAAGGGTGCTTCTTATGCCTGGAAAGCCAATCACGTAATATGGCAGTAACGGCTTTGGGAAGATTTCCACGACGTCGCTTAGTAACAGGTCCTGGTGATTGCTTCGCTCTGCGAGCATAATCGGTAACCGTGGCAGGAGGAGGTGAAGGTGGTGATGATGGTATAGATGAGGAGGATGATACAGATGTGTTGTCAGCACCATTAACCGAGCCAGCGGTGTGTTGTGCATTGAAAGAGCAAGATGAGAATCGACGAGAAGAAGGTTTTGAGGAGGGTCGATGATGGTGATAAGGATGATAACGGCGATGATGCGTAGTAGTAGTACTAGTAGTGATGGATAACGTGGGAGATGATGGCTCATCATATGGATGTAATGGTGGTGTCGGAGAAGATGCCAATGATGGTATCGGCGATGTAGGCCGTACTTCTACATTATCTAATCATGACATAGAGTGAGTGAGCCTATCTTTGCCCCCATTTGAATGAATAAACGTACCTCGAATATCAGCCCAGACTCGACCATTATGCTCAAGCATCTCATGAATACGTCTCTTGTGAGTGGCAATAAGTTGGCCATAATAAGGATCGCCGTATGGAATGTGAACATGCTCAAGACCACCCGTGCTCTCCTTGACATATTGATGGTCATGGAAAAGGATCACTGGGCTAAACACACGCATCTACAATCGATAATAATGAGATACAAGGGAAGAATGACAGCTTTTGTTTGACTGATACTGTACCTTGTGTTCGGATCGTGTTGCAATGTAAGTCGACATGCGAGTAGTTCAATGGAATGGTGGAATGTTGTAGAGCCTTTTTAAACGTCAAAGACAAGTGTTTGGCATGTAAAAATATCGCTTCTGAACAGAACTGGGAGGAAGAACGGGAAATAAGTACGACCCCAATGCGAATGAGCCCTTTTTATGACAAGAGTCAGCTGTGCAACGCGTGACCTAGCATCAAGCGCCAAAAGTGACATCTCGATCGTGATCACGCGGATAACACTCACGAAAAGGACTCATCTCATCACAATATTCAATCGTAAATCATGTTATTATAAATCTATACTGCCCATCACAATAATAAACACGCATAGGGTGATTATTTGTTTCAACATGTATCCTCACACGGTGCACATGTCAAAATACCATGTCATGGAAACCGTATCCTGCTCATCATCAGCGTGGGTGTCGGAGGATCAACGCTTTGACCATCTGAAGCGAATCCCTTTTTAGTCAGCCTGAGCATAATGTGGCTATGGGGCTGCTGCTGCTGCTGCTGCTGCATGATCAACTGACCTAGTACTTTGCACTTTTCCACGACTAAGCAACGTAATCACTCCCAACTTTGTAGCCAAAATGACATCCATCCTTGCGTGGGTATCCTTCATTTCCCACTTTTCTTAATAACTTTTGCATCCACAACATCCTTCTCTTCACATACATAACACAAGACGATGGGAAAAGATCATCGGCCATTTGTAGTGCATTACACAGGCGTTCCAGATATAGTTAACGTTCACCCCTTCCCTTCTTCTTTCTATTCCTCGGGCAATTTGTGCGCGCGTAAAAAGGGTTGGTCTGTGTCATCCCAAAGTAACCACTAATTCCTCGTGTATATGACTTGCAGAGCCACCTTGTGCCTGAGATGACTTAAGCTTTGTAAATCTTCCCTCCATATAGGTAATCGCAACGTGCTTTTTATTTATCCGAACGCCACTTGATTATGACAGCTTGTTGACAGTTTTATGCTAATCACCACCACTCGCATCAACAAAGTGTCTCAATTGTACATGGAGCCATACATACCTTATCGTTAAAACGACCTCCACGGACTTGTATCAAATACATGTCGATGTCATATGTCGTCTCAGGTTATCACATGACACAAGAAAAATGTCGTGGCATCTCATTTTTTATGCTTGCAACTCGCACGATTTACTTCCTAGGCTATGGATGACGATCGTGAGAGTATCAAAACTCATAACCCAAAAATCTGGGCTGTGTCGTGAATGAGGGTCCTAGATATGCAACATGGTGCTGGACACGTTTGTGAGGGGTTTTGTACTATTTTGGATGTCGTTATGCCTTTTCTCAGCCTTTATCCTTATCATTTTTGATAAGCGTTTGTTTTGTCCCCACACCATCCATCACAGCTTCAAAGAAGGGACTTTTGCTTAGAACAACAGCAAGATGGTTATAGTAGCAGATAGCATGTGAGAAGCTTGGGGGCTCTATAATTCTTATACTAGAGACCCGATTCGGCGTAGAAAGAGACAAGGGGAGGAGGAGTGACATTTTGGTATTCTCAATCGCCGATTTCAATCAAAAACAGCCTTCTCTGTTGGGAAAGAACAAACGCCCTGTACGCTTTGTACCCACGCTCCAGTCATCTTTCGTAACCGTCATTTGAATTTCGTGTCACCTATCTAGTTAAGCCCATGGTGCCATGTTGGGCAACTTTGTCTACGTTCAGCAAGTCTCGTCTCTTGATAATATCAATCTAAGAATCCTACTTTCTCTTTTGCCGACATACATAATAGCTCGCTTTCCTTTTGCTGCTGAGCTTCTCATGGATCGGGCAGCTTCACAAAATGAATGCAACGCAAAGCGCCCAAAAAGCAAGCTTCTGCTGTTTTCTTCAAGTTGCTGTTTGTGGCAGGAAGTTGCCCCTGAAAGCTGCTGATCCACAGAGATGGTACGAATGGGCCAGTGCACCTTTGTTTGTTTATCTTCTTTGTATGGTAATGATGTCGCTGCTGCATGGCTGATTGTTATTAAAATAAAGATAGCCATCATCCGCTTGCTCATTCTTGACTTGACTTGAATAAACACAAGCGATTTTAGTGTGGCACAGCCAATATTATATATGCTGGGATACTTTCTCAACGTGCTACCAATATAATGCGACAATACCTGGGTGGTGCAGCTAGAATGGTACTCAAGCTGCCAACTCAGGTTTCTTTTCCTTTCCTGTTTGGTGCATTATCCCAGCAGTCAGCATAGTTGTAGCGTGGGTAGCAATGGTGCAATGTGATACAATGCCGGGGATGGCCACCGTTTTGACATTTGGATAACGTATGGCGAAACCAGACGCCCTTTGTTTTATCCGTCAAGTAATTGCATTATGGTCGTGTAATCAACAATCGCAAGAATAAAGTGGTAGTAGTATACGAGGAGCGTCATTAGCTGAATGATCTTTGATCCTATTTGTATGTGCAACGTTTATAACAAGGTCGCTGAATGGCGAAAAAACAGACGTACAATCGCAGCTCTATTAACGTTTTCAAGTGCGAAAAGGTATTTTTCTCAAAGGTAAATGTGACATTTGTATCGAGACTAAGAATCATGTGCTCATGCATTATACCTCCATAGGCATTATGCGTAGGCTTTCTAAACCAATTGCGCGATTTGAATCAAGCGAACATACACAAGTTAGATATACCTCGCTAAGTAGGATGACGATACGACTGTTACTAGCCAAGGCGAACAGCCTTTGATTGGCTATGTACATCGCTTGAAGAGAGTGGTTCAAAGTTGAATCCATATTGCTCCTTGCTACATGGATGATTACTAGAGATCATTGCGCACACGCATGTATTGGTTTCAAAAGGAGTGATCTTTACGCTCCAACAGCAGATTTCAAGAAAAGCTATCATCGTATCCAATGCGTGGTATGAATTCGCCCCTCAATACCACGTTGTACGCTGCATGAATTTTCTATTGGCAGTGCATCATCTCGAATGAGGCATTTGAAGGTATTGAGTCAACGAACCCTTTTATTCATTCTAGCAATGTATCGAGGAGTCTCTTATCCATGTCAATGTTGATGCTCAGCTTGATACTACTGCTATGCAGTTTATCGGAGGAGGTGGAGGTGGGGGAGGAGGAGGAGCAGGGTACAAACACATCTTTTCCGTTTTCGACACAGCATGGAGGACGACCCTTTTCTTTTGGTGAAGCAGTAAGCCTATCTACGTCTTTATTTTATCATGTCGACAGCTATCTAACACAGTGAATGCACTAGCCAAGTGGAAGATGCGCTTGAAAATGCGTCGTCATTGTTCGACTCTTGGAAACGGATTCAGCAGACAGTGTCCTCCCCAAAGAATCAGGAATTGCTATGGACGGCAGATGAGTTGAATTCGTCACTCGAAGCCATTGAACAGGATCTAGACGATTTGGATGAAGCCTTCTCAGTATCCCAAGCCAATCCTTCCAAATTCAACCTGACAGCAGCCGATCTCAACTCTCGTCGTTCGTTTTTGACCCAAGCACGTAACAAGATACAAACTATCCGTAATACTATGGCGAATCCTCCAGCCAAGCAATGGCAGCATTTTGACAGCGTAAGGGAGATATGAGCAGGATAAGGGTACAAGGTGTCCTAAGTGATTTCATTTTTGTATAGGGATCATCAGGTGAAGCATCCAATTCTCGTCATCATAATGACAACCTGCTTGAGGATGAAAATCAGCAACAAATGGTAAGAGAGAGAGAGATGGATCTTCCTTCATTCATAAGGGTTAGGGTATTCATGTGTTTTATTTAGGTCATGATGCAAGAACAAGATACACACTTGGATAGCATGTCGGGAACATTGGTCAATCTTAAAGAAATTGCCGGAACAATGAACACTGAGTTGGAGGATCAAGCCATGTGAGTCTTGGCGATGATGATGGATGGATTATGGAAACGATTGAAAGCTGACAATTGAGGTTTTATTAGGATCTTGGATGATCTTGGCGATCACGTTGACCGTTCTCAGGGCAGATTGAAACGAGCTATGAACCGGGTAACTTACATCTTGAAGAAGGAAGAAGGTAGGGTTTAAGGAGAGGGAAAATGACACGATGGTGTATTCATGTGAATGTTATATAGAGTCAAAATCCGGCTATTGTATATGTTGTTTGATCATTGTCCTCATTATTCTACTGGTACTCGTTATTGTCATTTAAACACCCCGTCATCGTCATCATCTTCGCTTTCTTCACCATACCTCCACGCCACTTTGTCCTTTTACCTACTTTGTACGTTTCAATATAAAGATTGTCTATATATCATTCCCTGAATTATGGAAAGAATTCTTGGCATGTGAAGAGGATGCATCTTGGCATAAGGCTTACGACATGTGTGTGATAAGGCCATGTGTGTGGACGCATAAAGTGCGCTATGTGAATTGTTATTGTCCCGCCTTTTATTGCTGCTTCTCTTTGTTCCCTCTCTACTACAAAGTCTCTCTATGGAAGAACAAAAACAACAAGACCAAGAGTCTACCAAGTCTCCACAACACGAGTCGTCGTCTCCTTTACAAGATAGCACCAAGGAGAGCCCCGTCACCTCATCTGCAACCAGCCCTCCTGCTGCTACAAGTGCAAATGAATCCAATCCTACTACCAGTCCTGAATCGCCTTCTACTCAACAGCAGCAAGAAACATCGCATGAGGAATCTCCACAACAGCAGCAGTCTCCACAACAACAGTCTCCACAGCAGCAACAGCAACAGCAAGAACAACAGCTTTCAGAGCCTGTGCGTACATTGAAGGAAGCGTTTCCTGACATCGATGTGGAGGTTATTGAAGCCATTCTCGCTAGCCAAGGTGGTCAGATGGAAAGGTCGTTCGAAGTGCTTCTCGGCATGTCTGATCCCAACTACAAACCTGAAGAGCCACCACGTCCACAACAACGTGCAACAGAGCCAACAGCAACAGCTGAAGATGTACCTGCACCACCCATGCCCCCAAGACCCACACAAACAGAAACCCAAACTCAAGCTCCTTATGGTTATTGGCAACAACAACAACAACAACAGCAACCACAAGAACCTCGTACTGTTGAAGAGCAAATGCAAATGGATGAAGCGTATGCAAGACAATTGGCTTTGGAGGATGAACGTGTACGGGCACAGCGCTATCAACGTACGTAATGATCTGTCCCAGCCATGTGCAACATTGCATGATTTGAAGCTAATTTTCATTCATTTCACCAATCAACTTAGGTCAACAACAACAAGCTGAAGATGATCAACCTCTCTTTAACTTTCAAGGTAAAATGAAACAAAGGATACATGATATTGCGAGATGTCGACCTAATATGCATGTTATGCTATCTTAGAGGATTTGCCAATCATCAAGGAAAGAGTTGTGGAGGCTGGAAATGGTAAGTTGTTGTTGTTAGTGACGTGAAATGATGGATCTTGGATTGTTGATATGGCATACGTACGTGTTGATAGCTGCCAAGAAAAAGGTGATGGATCTCTACAATCAGTTCAAAGCCAGCCGTGCCAATAATGGTGGTAGCCCCAACCAAGGCACTTCGATGCCAACCACCAATGCTCAATACAGGTACGTTTTATAAAGGAGCAACCTATATAAGGTACTGACAACTTTCACATAGAGGTCTACCCAGTGATGATGGCGATGATTTATTAGCGGGTGATGTCTCAGCTTTGCATCTTTCTGACAATGATGTCTATGCACAAACGGCACGTCCACAACAGCAACAACAACCAGGTGTTATCCATGTCAACCCACCTTACCAACGCCAAGGAGGTAACGACACAATCGATGCTCAAATTCGTGCCGACGAGGAATTAGCACGGCGCTTGGCAGGCGATGACCAATTCTGGGAATCCAATACACGTAAGCAAGCTCTCATGTTGTATAAAAGTAGCTTTGATTAACCCCGTATGTATCATTTTATAGGAAACAACAACAATGAGCAACCTCCCCAAATGCCTCCAAGAAAAACACCATCACCTGGTGTACAACATAGCACTGCGGCCGACACAGGATCTGAAGGTATGGGTGAACTTGTAGTGAGTGGCACAGCATAATCACTGACAACATTCCAGGTGATAGCGTTGTATTGACAGCACCTGAGACCACCAAGCCCACTGAAAAATCTGAATCTCGTGCTGAGGAGCGACGATCGTACGTGATTCGTGATGAGGACGACTCGGATGATGATGATTTGATTGATGTGGATGAAGAATCAGAACGGAAAGGTAAGGTTTTTAAAAGAGGGTAACCCATTTTGATAAGGGGGGTATTGACCTTTTTCAAATTATGCAGATGCTACACAAAAGGGTGCCGATGCTGCTCAAAAGCCCGACGAAAAGGCATCAACCTCTCCCAAATGATCAACAATACGATGATACTCAAGTAAAAGATAATATTATGTTTATCTGTACCCATTTCATACAATAGCTTTTTTCGATGGATATGAGGATTAATGAGAGGGGGTGGAAGAGGAATGTGGATAATGAGGCTGCTGTTGTTTTTAAGATGTTGGTCATAAGAGGATGCTTTTATTGATGATGATGATGGTTTCTATGGTCATGTACATTGCACCTTTGCTCAACCAAAAATTCGTTTCCACATTTTGAACAAGGGGCCTCCTTCACCATCTTGCTGTTGCTGCTGCTGTTGAGGAGTTCTAGGTTGGATGGGTGGTAGTTGTTGTTGCTGTTCGATAGGGCTGGATTGGTTGGTGATGAATAAAGTTGATGAAGGAGATTGCTGTATTCCGTTATTGTGTGAGCCGCTTTCGCGAGTTTCTTCGACTGTGCCATCGGGATGCTTGATACGCTTGATAGTTTCAGTGACGCCATTCTTAGTGCTAGTGACATAGGATTCCTCAGTGCCATCAGGTCTCAGTACTCGACGTTGTGACGAACTAGTAAATGACCACTGGTATGAATAAACCATGCATTAGCATCCATTCAGAACGATATCCCTTCGTTTAAAACTTACATTGCTTGTCTGATGTGGGCCTCCAACTTCATCTTCACGAGGAAACATGTCCATAGCTTGAACACTTCGATTAAAGAAACGATCATGATCCGGTAATAACAGGTCCAGTAGGGTCCCACTTGAAGAGTTCGGCTGTTGTTCACCCATCATCATGCCCAAAAGACTTGGTGGTTGTGCTGGAATCATATCATGCTGTTGTTGTGTTGGCTGGTTATCAGGGATCTCTGGAAGACCACGTTGTTGGCGAGACTTGTTGGCTAAACGTCTGAAATCGCTGCCGTCAAAGTCGTCACTAGCGATCCCTGCTTGTGTATTTTCAGGAAGCTGTTGAATGCGGTTGGTTTCAAAGACAACAGGCTCCATGAAAGAGCGAAACATTGTAGAAAAGACACCCTGCATCATGCTGTTCATTGCGTGTTCAATCATGTCCAAATCGGATTGAGGGCCGTTGTTATTGTTGTCGTGAGGTGTATGTGGCATGTTTAAGTTTGGGAAGAGGAGTAAGAGAGTGGTATCACTTTGCAGGCATTGACCTCATGCTCCGCCCCCACCCAATCAATTACAATGATAGAAAGTCCTAGAAGCTGCCGGCAAATCATCCATTCATCTTTATTATGTTGGTCCAAGCATTTGATCAGGACGCACCCAATCGTTGAATTGTTCTTCAGAAAGGACACCGAGAGTGATCGCTGCTTCCTTCAAAGTCGTACCTTCCTTATGGGCTTTCTTTGCACACTTGGCTGCATTATCATAACCGATATGGGGATTGAGAGCTATAAAGCAAGGATTTAATAAGGGCTATGTAATAAAAGGGGATCATCATGTTTGATATTACCTGTGACCAACATCAAAGACTCATTCATAATACTCTTGATCTTATCCTCGTTGGCTCGGATTCCCACGACACAGTTCTTGGTGAAAGAATTGCAAGCATCTCCAAGCAAACGCACCGATTGTAATAGGTTCTTGATCATCACAGGCTTAAAAACGTTCAATTCAAATTGACCATTTGCTCCTGCAAAGCTGACAGCAGTTTGGTTGCTATATAAACACCATGTTAGACCTTTGATGATGTGCATATGAAGATTGAAGAATATACATACCCCATGACTTGCGCACACACCATCGTCATAGCTTCGCATTGGGTAGGGTTGACCTTGCCAGGCATGATGGATGATCCAGGTTCATTTTCAGGAAGAGCAAGTTCACCAAGTCCACATCGAGGACCCGAACCAAGGAAACGGATGTCATTGGCAATTTTGTGAAGCGAGACAGCTACAGTATTCAGTTGGCCATGTGCTTCGACAACAGCGTCATGGGTAGCCAATCCTTCAAACTAAAGTAATGCCGATATTAGATTACAATTACATACCCCACACTACTATAAGCAATACCTTGTTGGGAGCTGTTTGGAAAGGAAGCCCAGTGATATCTGCAATGGCAGCTGCAACCTTGACATCATATTCTTTTCTTGTATTCAACCCTGTACCAACAGCACTGTTGCCCAATTTTTTAGGTTATGACTTGAACCCTATCCCATCCTTCATGTTCCCCATGTACGTACCTGCCACCAATAGCGAGATTGTATAGTCGAGGAAGTGCACTTTCGACACGTTGAATGGCGTATGTGAGTTGTTGAACGTATCCTGAAAACTCTTGGCCAAGTGTAAGGGGAGTAGCATCTTGAAGATGGGTGCGTCCAATCTTTATAATGTGGCTAAACTCTTCGGATTTGGCCTGCAAAGCAAAACGTAAAGACGTCAAAGCGGGTAGCAACCGATTGCTGATCTCCATGACAGCAGCAATGTGCATGGCAGTCGGAAATCTAAATTTAGCCATTGGTTAATGCATCTTGCATATCCTAGATGCACGACATCATGTATTGCTCGACTTACGTATCATTGGATGACTGGCTCATGTTGACGTGATCATTTGGATGGACAGGCTTCTTGCTGCCGAGTTCACCACCCAACAACTCAATAGCACGGTTTGAGATGACTTCATTCACATTCATACTTTTGTACACCATCATGGAGTCAGCCCAAAGAAAAATTCATAGCATGACATTGTTGCTTACGTACTTTGTTTGGGTTCCCGAACCTGTTTGCCACACAACGAGTGGAAAGTGATCCATCAACTTACCACTGATCACCTAAGGATAATCATGCTTAACACTTTATCCATCTTTCCATGATATCCACTTTCCCTTCTTTACCTCATCAGCAGCTTTTTGGATAGCTTCGCCAATCTCTGGGTCCAAACCATAGGTCATGTTGACGGTGGCAGCAGCCTTCTTAAGTATACCAAAAGCTTGTATCAATGGCGCAGGCATTCGTTCACCAGGTCCTCCAATATCAAAGTTCTGAAGAGACCTATGTACAACGCACACGCGTTATGTTGGGAAAATGATGACACCTATATAATATAGAGAACACTACCTTTGTGTCTGGGCACCCCAATAGCGATCTGCAGGGACTTGTAGTTCACCAAAGGTATCACGTTCAACGCGGTGATTGTCGACACTCATTGTTAAAGTAAGGAAAAGAGGAAAGAGGAAGGGCGAAACCTGACGATTCTCATGGGATGATAATTTTATATGTAATCATTCATGCATGTGCCTTTTCCACACGCCCACTCACACACACACGCACTCACACTCACCTGCAAATTTGGGTTTCACTCACCGAATTGCCCGTTGGGTGTTGTTGAATGTTTCTCTTCTTCCCTTTTTCCACACACAACATACAGAGATGTCGGTATCTCGGCTAAAAGACCAACAATTGTTAGGAGTAGCACGTACAGCATCGAAACAAGAAATACGTCGACGATACCTTGAGCTTTGTAAACGACACCATCCGGATGTAGCACGTTCAATGAATAGTCAACAAGGTCCTGATATTCGAGACATCACTGCTGCATATCAACGATTGACCGGAAAACAAGCATATACATCATCACCCTCTCACCATGAAAGAACTGCATGGCAAGAACATGCACGTAAACCACAAGAATCACCTCTTGAAGACCAACAACAATGGACACGTTATACTCTCTTGACGGGTCTGGTACTCGTAGTGGGTATTGTCGCTTATGCTGGTCATGATCCTCGCCATCACCCCAATCCATTGCACCACTACCGATCGTCGCCATGGGAACAAGAACAACAGCAACAACGCTTCAATGGCAATGTAGCCGATTACCGTCAATGGCGAAAGTCTTGAGTTCCAAGGAGCTATGTAGGATAATCAATCACCCCGTCCATCATGTACAATATCATTGTTTACAATTATACCACATTGATCCATGCTCAATACAAATTACAATAAGTGCACCCCTTACGTTAAGGCTTTTGATTGATGCATGCAGTGTGAATGAGTGAGTGAGTGAGTGGGTGAATGGGTGAGAGAGTGAGCTGGTATCCATATGGGGGAATCAGCTGATGCAACCAGTTGCTTTTCATTAATCTGGAAAGCATCATCCAATGTGCCTTTGTTCCATGTCATCATTGTCAAATCACGTGGGCTTATCCAAAAGGCGGAAATGTACCTTGCTTGGCTCATTGTGGGTGGAGATCAACGCATCAAACGTCTCCTTGTGTGTGTTGTGAAGCATCGAATGCAAGGTATCGAATCGAGCCTTACCAAAACGGGTCAATGTTAAAACGATGCTTTATGCAATGATACTCAAAATGCGTTACAATTGAGTGTGTGTGTGAGAGATGCACGCACAATCCAAACAATCACACTGCATTCATGTACAACAAACATTACGGCAAATGCTTCTTTAATGGCGATGCTTAGCGAAAGAACTATTTGTAAGTGCAAGGCGAGACATGGGTCGATCCATGGTAGCGTCTAATGCTTGCTCAAATGTTACCCACACGCGTGTACGTTCATTGTTCTCTTCATCATCTTCTTGTGATGATGATGCTGTTGGCAATGGTGGCCTTTTGGTGATGATAGTGGTACGTGTATATGGAATTTCATACATCCAATGATGGGCAATTGTCTTGCCGCGTTTGTTGGCTTCAATGTAGGTACCCAAGCGATTCAACACGCCTGTTGCCTGAATGGATCCTTCTTCTTGAAGAACTCGTAGAGCAGCCGCATCAGCTTCTTCGCCTTCGGCGCGTTCACCTCGAGGAAGTACCAAGGCACCTTGACGCTTACGACTTGTCAACATGAGAATTCTTCCAGTAGCAGGATCTCCAACAACCACGCCTACTGCTTGTCGAATAGGCTTTTTCTTTTTTGGTTTCTCAGCCATTGGAGGGTTGCTTTCAGCCATTGGAAAGCCTGTGGGTCGGGGATTGCTTGCGGTCAACATGTTGATACGTGTAGTGGTATTCCAGGTATTACAAAAGAAATAATAAAAAGTAGAGAAAGAGAAAGGACGTTGATGGTGATGATGCTCCTGACAAAGCGGATATGGCTGGCTTTTATATATAAAAGGACAAAAAACAAAAAGGTTTTACATCGGATTAACAAAGCACCGGCATTCACGCACGACATTTCTTCAAAGGACGACATCCATGAATACTATCTCCCTTATTCCCAATTGCCCCCCTTCTTTACAATTATACCCCCCCAAAAGACTTTGCACAAAGTCTGGATGGATACCTGATGTGGAATCTATCTTGGAGAGAAGGTGCATGTTTTGGGATCGCATTGGTTCTGCATAATGGCAACGACGACAAACGACGACTACTACTTGGATTTTTTGGGTCTCCTCGTTCTCGGGATCCGGGTTCCCAGCACCCATTCGCCCAATATCCCATCACGCCGCTTTGCAGCTGGCGAATAAAAGGTCTCCATGCGAGTGCTCCTGACACCGCGTGCCCCTTCCTGTTTTGTTGAAATGCTCCCCACACCATTATCATCACCGCCCAAAAGCTCTCCCCCATCTCCCATATATGCAGCCAATGTTCCATAGAAACTTACTTGCATATTGCTTTTACCGCTTTCTGGAAAAATAGACTGGATATGAAGCAGCTTTGTTTGTAACTCGAATTATCTCCCCATTGTCAAAAATAGGTCTTGATTACTATACCACGTTCCCAGGTAATCTTGTCGTATCATCCCGGGTTGCTATTACTACACGCGATGGATGTATCATGATGACAACAAAACAACAACAACTGCATGTTCTATTTGCAACGATCCCACCCCACTATTTTATGCAGCAATGGATCATTCACCATCTTTTTGCTAAATGATTACTCCTTATCGCGGGTTTGTGATCCAGCAATCAACCATTTGTATAAGGTTTTGGTGAGAAAAGTGTCATCAACCTACTTGCATTCCAACACAAATTGATATGAAACTGCCTTTGATAAACCTTCAATGGCTCATCTTGGGATGGTTGCTATACAATCATAATCTACCCTTTCCATTATGAGCATCCTGGATCTCATTGAAACAAAAACGATACCAAAAAGAAAATGGAACAACACGCATATAACCATCCACATTTTAGTGCCGGATAATTATCACTATTATGGATGAAGATGACTCTACACCATACTCCTAGTTACAAATCGATCAATAGGTTAGTACTATCTCTTGCCAAGACATACAGGGATTCTTCTTCTCTTTCGAAGGATGCACATCAGATGCCCTTGGGGGTTATGAATTGATGATGGAATCAGTGTTACTAGTAATGATGGGCCCATTGTTGATATGTAGCATGCATATGATATGTGCGTCATTGTTGCTTGCACCAAAAGCTCTAATAAGCGATTAGATTCTCACAGACAAAATAAGGGTGTGGTGGCGATGGATGATGGATCATTTTAGAAACAAGGAGAACCGCCTAGAGAGGGAGTTTTAGGTCAACATTGCCATACATACACATAGGCCCTTTGGACTTCCATTTGTCCCATCTGCAAAAGGGGCATGCGTTATACTTTGGGAAACTGCACCCGACAAGATTGGCATAATTCATTATCGGTCGGTCAGCATCCCTTGCAAGGAAAGGCCTGGGCCAAATAAAAGAATTTTGTTGTGATGATATGTATATGTGATGTTGGCGTACAAAACACCCCTTGAGAGAAGATCGAGAATTGCATTGGTTGCGGCGTACCAGGTGCCGCTTTTTGTACGGATCAACAGTTGTGGGAAAGCCATTGGTAACAAAAAACGATCGTACAAGGTATTCATGCTTGCTTCACAGCACACAACAACATCATGTCGAGTAACATAGGATGATTGGCGTATATGCAATGTGTCAGATAAGCCATAAGCGGGGAGAAGGGATGTTCTTTAAAGTACTCCTCGAATGGGGTGGTCAACAGGAGGCGACGCACAGGTTTTGGTGCTGCACACTATCACAAAAAGATGCACATGTATACTCTTTAACCGATGCTGCCAAGCTGTGAGTCAAAAGTCAACCCAGCATAAAGCAATAAATGACATTTTGGTTGCTTCTGTTTGTAAATAGGCGGCGTTGCAGCGGACATGGCTGACAATTGGGGTAACCCCATCATTTCATTCTTTTCATAACGCTCTCTTTTTTGCATCCTCGGCATACATGTGTGGTCAATTTAAGCGACATGAGATGTCCCATATCATTTAAGTATGAACATCGTCTTTTATTAATGACAACATCTTGGGCAGCTATTGAATGTGTGTACTGGGTCATATTAACCAAAATCCAAGTGAGTGACACAAGTAGGATCTTCATCAGGATCGTATCCAATCCGATTGTTGGTGTCGGAGCGGAGGCTTGGGCCCGTGCAAGAAGAGATTTAGTTCGATCAATCGCTCTGCTGACTGGAAAAAAAATGTTCTTCCTCGAAGCTTTCTCGTCGCTTGCTCCCAACAATGTGTGGCATTTCAGCAGTTATCCTATCTAATTCTCAGGGCATGGCCTGTCCTGACCTCTTTGAAAGTCTTGGTCTCTTGCAACATCGTGGTCAGGTATGTTAATGTAGCTTGTAAACCCGCCATTCCAAACCTTCTTTTGACATGCCTTCCCTTCTTCATAGGACGCTGCTGGTATTGTCACTTGTGGCCCCAAGGGTCGTCTCTTCCAATGCAAAGGCAACGGCATGGTTCGTGATGTTTTTGACCAAAAGCAACTCTCTCGTCTTATCGGTAGCATGGGTGCTGGTCATGGTAAGTCCATACAACAACAATGTGGGGTCATATTAGCAGTAAGATTAAAGCTATGTATTATAGTGCGTTATCCCACCGCTGGTTCTTCTTCCATGTCCGAAGCTCAACCTTTCTATGTCAACTCGCCTTACGGTATCGTCTTTGCCCATGTAAGGATCATTGATGACAAGGATGACAAGTCGATTGTTTACTCATGATAATTGTTCTAGAATGGTAATTTGACCAACAACCGTGAATTGCGTGTGTTTTTGGACAAGATTGCCCATCGTCATATCAATACCGATTCCGATTCGGAGGTCTTGTTGAACATCCTTGCTAACAACTTGCAAAAGACCGGCAAGTTCAGGTATGTGCAATGGAATTCGAGATTACAATGAGATCCTAATTCGATTGTTTACTAGAATCAACGAAGAAGATATCTTCACCGCTATCAAGGACTTGTATGCTCAATGCCGTGGTGCATATGCATGTGTTGCTATGATTGCTGGCTATGGTATTATCGGCTTCCGTGACCCCCATGGTATTCGTCCCCTTGTTCTCGGTCGCCGCAAAACCGAAACGGGCTATGACTACATGTTTGCTTCGGAGAGTGTATGTTTGGATGCTCTTGGTTTCACTGACTGCGAGGATATCAATCCTGGTATGTATTGAAAAGTGTGGGGGGTTAACTTGTGTGTATGTATGACTCATTTCATTTTCAGGTGAGGCTGTAATTATCACCCGTGAGCAACTCTCTCGTCGTCAATTGGTGCCTGCCGCTCTCCACACACCTTGCATTTTCGAATACGTCTACTTTGCTCGCCAAGATAGTATCATTGATGGTATCTCTGTTTACAAGGCACGTCTCTCTATGGGTGAAGCTCTTGCTAGACAAGTCGAAAAAATGTTTGGTGACAAGTGTGATATCGATGTCGTGATTCCTGTAAGTACAAGGTGTTTGTTTATATAAGAATGGGGGATGATGAAACTCATGGTCATTCTTTTTTTGCAGGTCCCTGATACATCCCGTGTTGCTGCTCTTCAAGCATCGCACAAGTTGAATATCCTTTATCGTGAAGGCTTCAACAAGAATCGTTACGTTGGCAGAACCTTCATTATGCCTGGTCAACAAACTCGGTAAGCATTGAATGATTGGACAAGGACTTATGGATTGGATATTTATGGATGTTTGCTTGTAGTCGCAAGAACGTGCGTCGAAAGTTAAATGCCATGACTTTGGAATTCCAGGACAAGAACGTTCTTCTTGTGGATGGTAAACTATCAAATTATGCTCAAGGTTGAGGAGTTTTTACTAATGAAAGCAAACAATAGATTCGATTGTGCGTGGTACCACTTCCAAGGAAATCATTCAAATGGCTCGCGACGCCGGTGCCAAAAAGGTGTACATTGCCTCCTGTGCTCCCGCCATTCGATACCCCAACGTGTACGGCATTGATATGCCTAGTCGTCACGAGCTTGTCGCTCACAACCGCACTGATGACGAAATTGCTGCGGAGATCGGTGCTGACAAGATCATATATCAAGACTTGGAGGACCTGGTTGAATCCGTTCGCAAATACAATCCTTCCATCAAAAAGTTCGACACCTCTGTGTTTGACTGCGACTATGTCACTGGCGATGTTGATGAGGATTACATGTCTTACATTGAAGGAGAGCGCAATGATGAAAGCATGCAAGCCGCTAGCGAAGATAACGAGAGCGTTGGTTTGTATAACAGCTTTACAAAGTAGATCAATCCACTGTACAGCACCATGATAGAAGAAAAAAGTAGCATTTGTAAAGTTTCACATTCCCTTATCTCAAAACTTTGTATCAAACATCCTCTTTAAAAGATGTGTATCAATAGACTAGCAATACAACAATGTTGTTTCTCATTTGTAATTCACTTTTTACTTGAAAAGACGATGAATCATTGTAATAATCCTACTACCTAATACCTCGTTGGTCTCCTAGTTTATATAATACTTGAGTTAACATCAAAAGACAATCAACGTAGGGCTTCCCTTTACCTCAGCTCCATCCTTCAAAGTGTCCTGGATAGCTTGCATACGATCCGTGACAACGTGATCGGGAAATTGTGTTGACAAGATGACAGCCTACCATGGAGATGATTAGCTATCGCTATCCTCCTTCCTTAGCTTAGGAAAAGATGCAACCTACCAATCCACGATCCTCTTCCCATCCTTTCCATATAGCCACTTTGAATGTCCCAAGGCCGATAATCTTGCATAATTGTTCATAGTCGTCATCATCCTCGTCCATATCTTCGTCTTCTTCTCCAGCCTGGTCATTGGTGATATCATCCATCGTACGTAAAAGAGATTCAAGGACGCCTACGAGCATACAAATACTATCCATGGGAACTGATTCAGGATAAAAGTAAGGCACAATCTCACCCTGTGGCGCCGACTCATGACTTAATGCTTTGCGAGAAAAGATACAGAATGATGGTAATGGGAATGGTGCTGTTCTATGGCGTAATAGAGACGATAGCCCACTGCGTACAGTCGTATTCTCTTCACGGCTGTTTGCATCATAGGATGGTGTAAGGTGTCCTCCACTTTGTGCGTCTTGACTGGAGCTGATACTGCTATTATGGCTGCTATTGCTTGTGCTGCTGCTGCAACTGCTGGTCGCCTTTGGGTAGGGCTCTGGATGAGGTGATCGCGTATCCATGGGATCGGATGCATGCGTAGCAATGGAAGAGGTCAGCGCCAATGGAAGCGGCAATACGGTGCAGGACCTCGATTTCTTGTGTCTGCGAGACATAACGGCATTCTCTTCTTCTACCAAATGTCCTGGACCAAAAGAGGAGTAAAGGGAAGCGAGTCGCTGTCCTAAAGGATCCCGTTGTATCACCTCCATGGCGGGAATGACCCCTCCTATCACCTTTACGAGCTTCACCCACCTCTTGTTCAATCTTCAGTGCTGCTCCTTTATCACATTTATTACTTGATAAACATCCATACTATCATATGCCATTCTTCGACTTTTCAATGAATGTGTTTGGATGCAACGTGATGACTTGTGTATCATACTATCACCTCATATGGGAAAGCAGTGGATCACTTGGTGGTTTCTGGATTGAAAAGGGAAATAAAAATTGAACGTTGAAAAGCGAGGCTGGATCATTTACATCATCGTAACCAGATGCTTTTGTTCTTTTGCCACAGCACTATTAGATTCGCTAAAGCTTCTTAGCTTGCATGCTGGAGGTAGACAAAAGGTAGTGGCGATTATCAACGGAGCAGGAGAATCGTTCACAATGTATTGGCTTCGGCAACAGTGATGAATGGGAGGAAGGTGCTATTAGTTGCCAATGATGAGTTGTGATTGAATAGTGTACAAAGTATCATCCATTGCCCATTCCATTCATGCAAAACTGCTGAGTTACACAAACACGCCCCTATGCACCTTTTGCTCTGTCAGGGTCTAGCTTCTAGACAATGAACAAAGACCACTCTTCATATAGCATCACGCTTACAGCATAATGAAAACATAAAAGACAGCCATATCTCAAGATTTCACAATGAAACGTGTGGTTTTTATTAGAGCAATGTGCTCGGCTTGGCCAACAGCACCTTGTGTGAAAGTTTCATGTTCAATGTCGCAACTAGCCCAAAAAATATTTTTTGGTCGTCGTCGTCGAAGAGGTCGACCCCCAGATTTTTTGGTATGTAAATGGTATTTATTAACATCTTAATGTAGATGTTGTGTAAAAGGGATAGGGGAAGAAGATGGAAAACATTCAGACATTTCTAGCTAAGAGGTTGTGCTCTTGTTCAATTTGAAGTATGGAGGTTGCAGCCTTGCCAGCAACAGCCTGTGCTTGAAAACGCTCGTCATTGTAGATGAATTGCCAATGGGCTTTCCATATGGCCAGCACACCGCAAGCAATGATGGTGGAGCCTGTAATACGGGTGTCAGAGGTTGGATGCGGTGGTATTCTCGACAAGGTAGAGATGTGATCCCACTGAACCAAAGAGCTTAGAGAAAATTGAGCTGCAAGGATGCGCCATACTTCGTGAACAAAAGGACAAGCGAAAAAGAAATGTTTGTCCGTTTCAGTGATGTCAATCACGGCATCAACATGCCCTTCACAAAGAAGGCATAAGTTGGATTTACATGAGGTGGGAATGAGACGATGTAAACGTGCACGTGATGTAGATGTTGTGCCGAGGATAGAGGAAGAAGATGGAAAACATTCAGACATTTCTAGCTAGAGGTTGTGCTCTTGTTCAATTTGAAGTATGGAGGTTGCAGCCTTGCCAGCAACAGCCTGTGCTTGAAAACGCTCGTCATTGTAGATGAATTGCCAATGGGCTTTCCATATGGCCAGCACACCGCAAACAATGATGGTGGAGCCTGTAATACGGGTGTCAGAGTTGGATGCGGTGGTATTCTCGACAAGGTAGAGATGTGATCCCACTGAACCAAAGAGCTTAGAGAAAATTGAGCTGCAAGGATGCGCCATACTTCGTGAACAAAGGACAAGCGAAAAATGTTTGTCCGTTTCAGTGATGTCAATACGGCATCAACATGCCTTCACAAAGAAGGCATAAGTTGGATTACATGAGGTGGGAATGAGACGATGTAAACGTGCACGTGATGATATGCGGTGATGTAGGAGACGCCAAAGGACTGTTGTAGCACGATGAGGGATATGGGCTGAATTCCAAAAACGATGCCATGCACCAGGAGTTGCACGAGGGTAATCATTGGGCAAGTCTTGAAGAGGCGGTAAGAAGCTGTATCGAAAATCCTTGCGCTTGAAGTTGTCGATAGTGAGACCAGAGCGAGTAATGGGTGACACCAAGTTATAAAAATCAGAGGTGATATTGAGCGGGGTCGACCCCCAGATCCAGTTTGGCTGGTGGCGACATTGCGAAATCTGGGATTGGCAAGCTTGATCGTGAAACTGGCACCCAAGGTGCAGTTGGCCAAGCCGAGCACATTGCTCTAATAAAGACCCCATGTTTCATTGTAAAGTTCGGAGATACAGGCACCTTTATGTTTTTACTATGCTGTAAGCGTGATGCTATATGAAAAGAGTTCTTTGTTCATTGTAAAGTAGATAGACTCAGATAGAGCCAAAGATGCAGAGGGACGTGTTTGTGTAACGGAGCCATTTTGCATGACTGAAATGGCCAATGTATGATACCATATACGCTATCTATGATTGGCAGCTAACAGCCACTTCCTCCCAATCCCAACTTTTGTTCATTGTGTGACAGTGGAATTATGCTCCTGCTCCAGACATTCATTTCCATCATCGAAGCTTCTTGATCCGAGCTGATTTGACTGAGCTACGCCCAAACAAAGAATACGTCAATTCTTGAAAGACAGACCCTGCGAATGTCTTCGTCTTTCAAACTTTTGGACGCTCCCATTCCAGATTTTCAATTGAAGCATGAGGTCTTTATTAGAAAAAGCTGATCAGCATGCTCGAGAGTACCCTGCTGACCAATTTTCAAGTTGGAAGTGGGCAACTTCGGGGCGGTGGGCCGTCCTATCTTTTGTACCCGTTATCCACCATTTGGACCACCCCGCATTCAAGGCATTCTTAATGAAGTGTATGGTTTTCAAATGAATGAAGTTGATCAGCATGTCCCAGCGAACCTTCTGACAAAAGTTTCAAGTCCAAAGTGTGGAATCCCAAGATAGTACATACTATTTCGACAAATCATGGATCCGGCGCCGACCTCCATGTACGACCTCCATAGTAAACTCACATTACATCCTCCCATTCAAATTCCTATAATGAAGTGTAGGGTCTTTTTTAATACAAAGTTGATCAGAATGACCAAGAGCATAATGTGCGAAAGTTTCACGGCCGAAGTGGGCAATCCCATAATCAAGATTTAGCTTACAGGGTTCATGCATTTATTCAAGAGGTGTCCGCCTCATTTGATTTCCACCTCTTCCACTCCCAGCTTCTTCCCTCTTCCTCTCATTCTCATCTGTTGGTCCACTCAAGCATACAACTACCACCTGCCAGTGATTGTCCTGCTTCAACCCATCATGTCAATCCTACAACTCTCTTGATCCGATTGTCTTTGACTGAATGGCAAGTCCATGGTGTGTGCACCCCACTACAACACAACACTCCTTCTTTGATACAACACACCCTCTTGCACACTTCTCTGCCACGACCAATCATAACGGCATTCATTGCAGCAGCTGTTATTAGCAAGCTCTTTACTCCATTGTCTCCAACAGCGTTCTCTACTTGCAGCAACTTGCCTTACAGCCTTGTTCACGTGAACAGCATATAGCCATTGTATAGAAGCAGCTTTATTTACGCGTAGCAACTTGCTTCGATACATACGACTTCTTATGGATATGGATATGGATATGGTACGTGGGATGGAAGGATCTGGACTCATACGTAGCCATGGATTCGCTTCATACCAACAGCTGTAGAGGGTCATCCACCGTTACAAGATTATAGTAGATATTTGGGGTATCAACAATGCATCCAATAAACGCATTCTTTAGTGATGATTGTTATTGTATTGCCACCATAACGTGATGTAGCCAGTTATCGTATGACAATAACTTCTTATTCATGCAAGTATAAGGAAGCTTTTGATTGCCCAAAACACACCATCCATCTTCTCAATCCACACCTTCAATCCTACTACTACCCAACATCAATCAACATATAAAAAGCAATGAACATGAAGAATGGTATCGCAAGTGTAATCTCTATTATGAAGTCTTGTGTTGAATATTATCTCTATTCTTGTGCAATGTGTGTGTTGCATAACCAATCCCACCCAAAACGATAGCCAATCGCCACATCCTTGACCACCATGACTCTATTTGTCGATATGCATCTGCATCTGGTTCAGTCTCCAATCCTGCTTCTCTACGTCGCTTAGCAGCTTGTTGCATTCGATGTCTACGTCTTGTTTCTTCAGCTTGATATCGTGTAAAATGCTCCCGATAAAAGGATGATGATGTGTTATTCTTTCCCATCCCTTCAGCTTGTGCACGTGCGCTTGCAGATCCTGTATTCTTTGAGTGGTGTCTTGATCTTCCATGCCATGAAGCGGATGGCCCTGACCGAAAATGGGCTGTGGATGTATACCAGTTGGATGTTGTAGTAGCTGCCATAGGCCTATCATCTGCTTCTCGATCGTATTCTCGCCTAGTTGCTTCGTTGCCTAATACAGCATACGCTTCATTGATCTCGAGAAACTTGGCATGGGCTGCTGCATTGTTGGGATTCAAATCAGGGTGGTATTGTTTGGAGAGACGATAGTATTGCTTCTTGATGGTGTTCTTATCGGCATGTCGTTTTACATTGAGCGCTTCATAGTGATCTTTGCGTTTGAGTAGTTGTCGCGTGGAATGGAAGGCTCGGTACAACATGAAAGGGAACAAAAGAATCGGAAAGCAGACGCTGTCCGCATTATTAAATTACCAGCTTGGTTTCAGTCATGCTGAGATACTCAGCAGCAGCGCTTTTTGGGATGATGAATAATAAAGATTTATTGGATGGAAGAATAGAATCTAATTATTTACAGCTCAATAGCACGGCCTTCATCACTGCTCTTTTGAGCTAATTCAATAAGACGAATGCAGTTGACACCATGTTCAGGCTTAACAGCCAAATGGTCACGATCATTCTTGAGGATGGCCTCTCCGACATTGTTGTAGAAGCTCAAATAATCACCTTGAAGGGTCTCCACATTGCCAGTAATATGCAAACCATTGATGTCCGAATTGATAATACCCCATCGATCTTGGGATTCAACACCGTAGCCAGCACTGCTAGGCAACAAACCAGCCTTAAGCTGATCCTCTTGTACATCCAAATAGTGCTTGACAAAGCTACCATTCATACCACGCAACGAGAAACGCAACACAGGGCTTTGACGTGCAAGCATGCTTGATCGCAAAAGGGCACTGAATCCATCAGCGTACTTGAGAATAATAGTGAAATCATCCACAACATTGGATTCAGCCAATTGTCGTTGATTGCTGATAGTAGCATAAATGCTCTTGGGCAAACCGAAAACGGATAAAGCTTGATCAATCAAGTGAGCTCCCAAATCGTACAACATACCAGAGCCTGGTTGATCATCCTTTTCACGCCATCCGGGCTTGACAAAGTTACGGAAGCGGTCAAAGTGAGACTCGAATTCGACAAGACGACCCAACTGGCCACCAGCCAACAATTTCTTTACGGTCAAAAAGTCACCATCCCATCGACGGTTTTGGTATACGCTGCAAATCTTGTTGGTCTTCTCCGAGATCTTAACCAACTCACTTGCTTCCTCGGAAGTAACGGTGAAGGGCTTCTCAACAACAACTATATACCACATTCAAGGATTAACACTTGCGTCTTAAATCCTGCCTATGTAAAACATCTTACCATGCTTGCCCTTTTCCATAGCTTCCTTGGCGAGTGAAAAGTGAGAATCATTGGGAGTGGTGATGACTACCATATCGACATTATCCATGGCAAACAACTCGTCAGTGCTCTTGGCAACGGTGACCCAAGGATAAACTTCTTTGCTCTTGTTGTTGTGGCGCTCAACGACAGCCGTCAACTGCAAGTGAGGCGAGGAGACAATAAGAGGGCAGTGGAAAGTACGGGACGAGAATCCTAATAATTCAATACATGCATAAATAAACTTATTCCACCACCATCACAACGTGTCTCTTGATCGAAATGCTGATCATTGGATCTATTAGCATACCAAAGCCAACAACACCAACGTTTACTTTAGCCATGATAGTATATGTGAGAGGAAATGTGAGTGAGAAAGAAAGAAGAATAGGGCTCGATCGAAAAAACCCTGGTACAGAATATATATAAGGTTGGTCCGATGGGTGCTTGCGGGAAACGGGAAATAACACAATTACTCAGACGTCGGGTCAGGTCTGCTTACGTGATACTTGGGACCCCAAGTTGTATGCTTTTCAAGCTGCTGCGGCACTTCACTCCCCCACCCCCCACACATACTAGAACACTGTAAAGCGGCAATTGAGACACTTTAAACCACCAAATGAGTATATGCATGTGCGGGAAAGCTGTCCCAGCCTTTCTTTCTGAACCCCGTCAATCGATTTAAAAAAAACAGCGCTATACGGTGCAGACTATCGACCGTTTGATTTATAAGCAACTTGATCATGGAGCTCAAGTACAAAGAAACTTTATTCCTTGAGCAACGAAACATCGTTCGTGTTTCAGCAACCTTGACCCTTTGACATTCCTCCAAAGACAAATTTGGATTATTGTCGATAATGGTGATCGTCACTGTGCGTGCCCAGCACATATGATTCACATCCATTCCGCATGTTTCAGCTTGCACTTGCACTATGCATCGCTACTATAGGCATCCCCACCATCCCAACAATGTGGATAAGAAATTGGATTGTCGTCGATCACTGAATAAAAAAGTAAGGTCATGTGACACAGATCCACTTTCTAGAAGCAATCCTCAACAAAACGAATGAGTATATGAAATCGGCTTTACTTTATATATTTGATACAAAAGCGAGTGAAGGTCATGCATGATGCGACGAATGGGGAATAGGGTGTGATGCATACTAATCACGATGGTAGATCATCATCCACGTCTTCTTCTTGGAGTGGCCATGTGACTTGGAACAAATAATTCACCTCAAACGGGGGGACAACATCCACCACGGTTCTCTTTTGCATAAACACCTACGACCATGGCGAGCACATTGGTATGTAAAAATAGCTGCATTACAACGTCTTCCATTTCACTGAATGCGTCCATTGGTGATAGACAAACCTTCCTGCAGACGCACCTCTTCATGTTGGCGCATTGAGCATCATTGGTACTTCGGCAACACGCGAATCTTTTCTCAACCATGTGGTCGCTGGTGTTTTCGATGCCTCTACTTCTGCTGGCGTACTCGAACAAGTCAAGGAAGCAGCTAACAAGCTTCAACGACACGATATCTTTGAGGAAATCAAGGTGTACATGACCGCTTCCGGTGCAGACGCTGTGAACGTTACATTCGACTTGAAAGAAAAAGGCAAAGGCGTGCTTCAAACGACCCTTGGTGTGGGTGAGAACGAGGCCAATGTGGTAAGTTGATGATACACAAAAGAGGGAAGGTATACATGTTAAGTATGGAGTGTGTAGAACGGCACGATCGCATTGAGAAACATCTTTGGTGGTGCTGAAACAGCCTATGCCAAATACGCTTTTGGAAACCGTACAAAGGCAGCTATTGAGGTATGTATCATGGAGGCGATATGGACTAGGAGTGGGGAAAAGTGAGCGCATGATTTTAAAACGTCATGTTAGGTTGCTGCAGGTCTTCCTGTGTTTGGATGCCCCGATGCCAAGTTGGAAGCTTTTGGCAAGGGTGCTATCAAGGATTACTCCCCCGTCAACTATTACGTCGAGAGCTCAAGAACGGCTGGTCTCCGCTTCAAGGTAATTGTGGTATTTTATCCTAATTGGATAGTGATTAATGGAAAGGAATAGACATGCTCTCCATGGGGTCAACATCAATTGAGCTATGCATTGTCCAACCGTGATATTACTGCACAGCAAAAGTCATCAGCAACGTGAGTCACTTGATTCGATATATAAGATTGGAATAATACTTACATCCCAATGACAGGGTCCGTGCACATTCAGGTTTGAACACCAAGTCGTCGATCCTCCACAGCTTTGTCAATGATACTCGTGACCATGTTACCATGCCAACCAGTGGCAAGTACTTTGCTTTGACTCAAGAATTGGCAGGTGTTGCTCAACGTGGTGATGCAAGCTTCTTTAAGCAAGAATTGGCTGCTCAAGTCCATCAACCTCTCGCAAATGGTATTGTGCTTAGCAGTGGCTTGAAACTTGGTTATCTTTATCCATTGGAGGAAGGCAAGGATATCAATGTGTCGGATCGATTCTATGTTGGTGGTCCATTGTCTGTGCGTGGCTTCAAAATGGGTGGTATTGGTGCTCGTGATGGAAGTAAGTAATCACAAAGTTATATATAGTAGGGTGCTCTTTGTTCTCGATGGTTGACAATGGATTTTGTATAGACGATGCTCTTGGTGGAAATGTATTCTATGCTGCTGGTGTCAGCCTGACGAGCCCAATTCCTGGTGCTACCCATCTCCCTATCAAAGCACACGCTTTCTTCAATGCTGGCAACATTATCAATAAGCCCAAGAGTAAGTAATCAACAACCTTTTAATGATGTATGATATCAAGGCTAAAGTATGTTACTATAGATGCTCCTGTGAATGGAACGATTGAGGAATTGATTAATGAATCGCGGACAGCTGCTGGCGTTGGTCTTGTTTTCCATCATGAGCTTGCTAGAATTGAAGCCAACTTTTGCATACCTCTCCGTTTCCAGACCGGTGATCTTCCCAAGCGTGGTATTCAAATTGGTCTTGGTATCAACTTTTTGTAGAATGTGCGATGAGATAAGGATTAGTTTATTATACAAAGAAGAAATACATCTTTTCAGCATTATAGAACAAGTCATCCTCATTGACCACTTTTTGTGTGTGTGCCATGTGCAACGTACAAGAATAGATAGCCTGAACTGGCCCTTCCGTGTTGGTGCTACCTAACCCAGACCTCATAATTAAGGTCGGCGAATGAGAGGCACTCCTATTCAGCTTCATTTTCTTCGTCGTTGACCCTTTTCTTCACTTTCGACACCTTCCCTTACCACTCATTTCTCTGATTGCAGCAAACTTCCTTCAACATGGGTCTCGGTATGGATAAATGCTGCTGCCTCATTCCTTTGCGACTCGGCACCTTTATTATCGCCCTCTGGTTCTTTGTACGCTCATCCCACAACAACCGCATCTTGCTTCACGATTGAATGGAAATGCTCATTGCAACGTATACAATACTATAGGTCGTCTATTTGTTCGATGCTGTCACAGGCTTCATGGGCAGTAATGGTAAGATACCAATATGGATTTGGATCACCAAAGACTTGTCATTCACATTATTTGTTTGTCAATAGCTGTCACGATATACTCTGGACAAGCAGCCAAAGCGTGGTATTACATTGGATTACTGTTGACAGTGATCATTTGTGTGGGTGGCCTTTTTGGTATCCTTGGATCCATGTTTGTAAGTCCTTGACAGCCATTGTGATTGGGGCATGGATGATTTATTCTAATAATTGGGTGTTGCTAGGCATCACGCAAATTTGCCAAAGCTTTCAGTATTGTGGCATGGGTGAACTGCGTCCTTTCCATCATCAAATACCTTATTTCCCTCATCATCATGTGCGTTTATCGAGACGACCTTGTCAACTCTTGCCGTCGATCTGGTTTTGTTGGATTCGACAACAGCGAAGTACCATTGTCGCAAGCGGTACTTACCGACAACTCGTACTACACACCTGTACAATATCCGGGAACACTCAATGCACATGCTACATCCACAGAACAATGCCAATCCATGGTCCAAACGTTCTTGATTTGCTTTGGTGTTATTATCTTTGTGGTTGAAGTGATTCAGGTAATTACCACCATATGTGCCTGCAGGATCCATCCTTCTCACTTAAACACATCCATCATAGATTTACTTTGCAAAGGTGGTCACCAATTACGCTTCTCGTCTACGAAACGGTGCACGCCATCATCGATTGCACGATCAACAAATCAAGGACTTTGAAGAGTCTCGATATCACATGTCCACAGTCTACTAGAGGATGGTAGTAGCAACGACAAACGCACACAACATACATACGATCTCACTCTCACCCACACAACGCTCTCAGACATCGCCTCCCCTTTTATCCAATGTTCTTTTTTCTCCTCTCTCTCTCTTCCTTTGCATATCATATCGAGTTCCCTTTCAACTTTTGCTGTATATTATTACCTTTCATTTTCCCACACAAACCCCATCCAAGATCCTTTTGAAATGAAAACGCTTGCTTGAATATATTCCATTTCCAGTCTTACTTTCTTTGTCATTCACATTCATAGTCAACGACTCAACAATCAAATATGCATGGCAAACCAAGAATGTGTGCTCTCCATGCAGGAGAAATACCTCCTTTGCTTCTCATCAGCCTCTCTGTACTACTAAACAACGAAACTAGTGTTGGAAGAAGTGCACAAAAATTGGTCTCCGCCTCAAAAAACGCATGTTGGATCATGTGTAATAGATGTGGGTTAACCAATCAGCGTTGGTAAAGTGGTCGATGCGTCATCGATACAAAAATCTCTTTCTGCTCCTGCCTTGTTTTCTTTGCGGTTCTTTCCATTTCTTATCACACACACACTCAACACTCACACTCGACACATCACTCACCCACACTTTTTTAACTATCCACATTACCTTTGATCACACCACCCTTTGCCTACTACTGAACTATTTTGATTGATTACCACTATGGTCGTTATCATTCTGTAAACCTCTTGTTCCCTCTCGTGTCTCTTAATACCGCTCTTGTGTCTATTTAATCTTTATCTCGTATCTCGTAAAGAACCTCTCGTATCTCTAATGTCTGCCTTTGTCTCCCACAAGCATCTCTTTTACTCTAACGCCCAAGAAGCAAAACCTTTCTTCGCCTATACTACTGACGAACCATCTACTTGCACTGTGAAGATATCAGCCCAACACAACAACCCAGGAAATTAGCATCAAGATTCGAAAACCAATTACTCTGCCCAGCTCACTTCGCCCTCCAACTCGATCACACGTAAAATCAAAAACGACAAAAACAATCATGACAACGAAACAAGAAACAACATTCCCATTCAACGCTACCATCACAGGGAACGATGCCCTGTTCAATGATTATTCTCTCATGACACATCCTCTTTTGCAATCATCAACATCAACTCCGCAAGACTTGTCTCAGCTGTTGCAGCTGGATTCCAACCAACCATTTGTCATTGATGATTGGCTTGCCACAGAGCTCCACCAATCAGGTTTGTTGCCACCCACTTCTTCCGGTAGCAGTACCTCGAGCGGTGCATCAAGCCCTGAGCTACCCAATTCACCACCATTGACTGCAAGTCCCCCATCATCAAAGGAATCCACAAGTCCAAGCAGCGTTTATCATCTTCAACAACAGCAACAACAACCTTGTGTGCCATTGTTCCCTGAAATCGCTCCAAAGCAACAACAACAACGTCGTCTGGTGCCTATCATGCCAAAGACCGAAATGATTGCTGCTGCTGCTGCTGCCATGTCAAGTGGCCATGATTCTTCTATGGGAGCTTCCACACCTGTTTTGTCGGTGCCAAGCCATGGCAACAACAAACGCAAAGCCAGCTGTGACAAGGATCGTGAAGACATTGTGCTCAAGCGTCAACGTAACACCGATGCTGCACGTCGATCTCGTCTTAAAAAGTTGCTCAAGATGGAAGCATTGGAGAAACGTGTGAACGAGTTGGAGGGCGAAAATACCCGGCTGACCACGCGCGTTGCTGTGCTCGAGTCAGAAAAGTCGGGCCTTGAGAACAAGGATAAGGACCTTCAGGAACGTATTCGTGTTCTCGAGGAACAACTCGCTGAAGCCCACAAGGCTTTGACGTCAAAGTGCACGCATTAAGCAGTGCTTTTTTTAGCTATTTCATTCCCCCTCCACCTTTTTCCCCATTAGCTCTTTTTTTCTTTCTCTTTTCTTTTGTTCGTATATAGTTATCCCACAAGCATTACCTTATCCCATAGACAAGTCCAAATTGCAGTACCAATAAAAAGTCAGTGCAAAACATACAAATGGTTATATTACAAGTATATACAAAAGGTTGGGGTGTGGGGAATGACCTGGAAAATTCAATCTATATAGCCACTGGCAAAGTCATTTACCATCGTATCCCAGGTATCATCAAGAGTATTAGTAGGTTTACGGCCATAGCAATTGTAAATAACACAATGTGGTTGTTGTTTTTGACATTCGTCGGGTGGTATAGCGTCGATCTTTGCAAAGAGAGCTTGCACAACAGCGTGGTCGGCATTAGCCCAATCCAATGGTACCACAACTCGGTCTTGTTGAATATCCACAAAATCCGTTTGCAGCCATGTAGGTAAATGACGAGCACGTTGAAGATCAATTTGATGTTCCTTGAGCATCTTTTCTAACACTATAATGACATGAATGAGTCTTTTTATCTTTAAGCATGTACATCAGCAACACACTTACTTTGATGATTGATCAAGTCGTTACCACGAGAACCAGCACGCTTCACAGTGTAATCCAAATCAACGATCTCCAAATAGCCGCCTGGTTTTAACACACGCATGATTTCTCTCAGCAATCGGACCCACTCGGGATGAGTGAAACGACATAGCAGCATACGCATGTGAATGTAATCAAACGTATCATCCGCAAAAGACAATGGTTCTTGCCGACATTTATGCACCTTGAAGTATGCATTGTTGCGTTTTGCATCTGTTGGCATCGCTGGTAGACTTGTATCAACGCCATGGAAATCTATCGATTTTGCAGATTAGTAAATTCCCATAGATATGGATCATGGTGGAGATAACAAAGAAAACAATCCACACAGCCCGAAAGAATGAAACGCACCTGCTTTTGGAAATTGGGTTGCCATATCGATAATCCTGTCAAAAGGATCTTGGTTAGCACTGGGATAATAATAATGCAACAGCATGGGAAAGCATGCATGTGCGTGTGTGTGTGAAAAAAAGAGATGGCGGGGTAGTAACATACCAAGATCCTTGTCCACAGCCGATTTCCAACACATTGGGTCGGATAGAATGTTCTTCGCATGATGATAATATTCGATGTACAGGTGCCTTGCACAAACCACCAAGGACACGCTTGAGCAGTGAGTGCTGTATAAAAATGGATGATCAGCATAAGCCTTTTATAGTTGAATGAGTCGTTTTTTTGCCTACCATATCATTGTCCATCATCATTGCTGAAGGTTTGGATGTTGATTTGTCAACCGGTGGAGTATCCGCTTGCACCAACGTTGAGGCAGTCGATGTCTCTGATGGCATACGAGAAGGGCCATTGGGTGGTGTTTTTTGTGAGAGTGATTTGCTCGTACTCGATAGCGTGCTTGTTGTTGAAATCGTACTACAGCTGCCTTCTCGTTTTGGTTGTCGTAAATGTTGTCGTCGTGGTGGTGTTGGTGCTGCTGGTGGTGTTACCGCAGCTGCTTCGAAAAAGTTGGCAAATCCTGGTGGCCTATCACTGTGGCTCCTGTTGCTGTCAGCTGTCCTTTGTGTTGTTGAACGACGTAAAGGAGGTGGTGTGCCATCAGGATGCCACTGTAAATCGGATGGCGTATTGCCCATGAAGAAAAGAGAGAAAAAAAAACGAGCGTGCAGAGCAAGTGTGGTCAATTAATAATGGTGCCGAGAGTAAAACAAGGGGAAGTGAAAAGAAGAGGAGGTCAAAATGTGAGCACACTTTGGGCAGGAATAGCTTAAAAATCAAAAGCGCAGAACCAACCCAATCAACTGGATGCAGCGATTATTCATTCAGCCATGATCTGCCACTCATGTTTCAAGCACAAAACTTGGTGAATCAAAATCGGATGTCTTGTTTCAATCACCGTTTGTGTCAATCTTCTAAAGCACGACATGTCGAAAGCCAAGAAGTACAATATGGTAGCTCAAGTTGTGGATAGTAGCCGAACCAAGGCGGCGTATAAGCTTTATCATGCACACAAGCAGATAATGAAAAACGCTCATATTTGGTATCTTGCAGATTGCTTGGTGACCAATAATAACAAATCGGGAAATCATTCTCACGTGGTGACATCAAGCGATCGTAATCGTGGTGTGTGGTATTTACTAGGCCGCCGCCTCCATCACCAAGCAAATCCCCATATAATCTGTCCGCCTAAACCTGAACAATGAAAGCGATTGGTTTGACGGCATGTGTCTCAGCGTCAGGCACACTTGCCCTGTTCCCCCTTTATCCATCCCAAACAACTGCATGCCCCTAAAACACATGCGTTTGTATAACCAATAAGGTATGCAGGCTGCATTATGCATGAAATCTTTTGGATCGAGAGCGGCATCCATTTACACCTATTGATGTGAAGCGGGTCTTTTATTCACATGCCAAAATGTATAACCACCTTTTTGTATCGTATTCTTGTTTGCTATATGGTAAGCAGCTAAAATCTACAGGTCACAGCTACATAAGCAATTCCCATTATTCATCATTTGTCATACAATTGTGAATGATGCCCCACCCTATGAAACAGATCACATTCGTTGTTATTCAATGCCATAAAGAAATGATAATAGCATTCGTGTGATTCTTATGACACATCAACAGGCATAATAAAGGATTGGAATGACGGCATTTATTTGTCGAGTATGTTGAAGGCATCAACGTCTATGTACTGCATCCGGTCAATTAGCCGCTGTAAATGTGGAGTTTCATCTTGCTGATCCATATATGGAATCAAGGCACCAAACACTGTTTTTTCAAAAGATTTCTGAGCTTGAGTTGCTTGATACGCCCTTTCTTCTCTTACTTTTTTCTTTGTTTCTCTTGAATTTGCCATGGATGCCTTCATAAAAAGCCAAGGTGGAACGGTTGCCATAAAGGATGAACGACTTGTAGCGAAGCAGCATGTAGCAACGGGCACCATTCTTATGAAACAAACACCACTGGCTTCAGTACCGCAACCCACCATTCGAGGAGAACGATGCAACTATTGTCTTCGCAAGACCGCTTTACAGTGTTGTTCACGATGTCATTCAGCTTATTTTTGCAGCACCGAATGTTTTCGAAATGCATGGGTACAATTTCATCGAGTGCTTTGTGAGCCCCAGGAAAGCGACGTTTATGTGGATGTGGATGCTGATCGATGGTTGTTGGAACGAACAGCACTGACGCTCCATAGTCACAATCGCCTGAGTAAGCATCATTCGCATACTCCGCCAGCGCTGCCTGCTGCCATGGATGCCCTTGAACGCTTATCACCAGCCCCCCACCATGGTGACACCAATCCGGACATGGCTGCCGTTGCCACCGCGCTCGAGCCTTTTGGTTGTCAATATTCCAAAGATCAACTTGTCGACTTGTGGCACCGCATAAAAGTAGCAGCATTCAATATATGCGATCATGATCAACACATGGATCCAGTTGCTCTTGGTGTATATCCAATCACGCCACTTCTTATCGCTCACTCATGCCGTCCCAATGCTGGCATCGTTTATAAACGGGGCGCTCAACACATTGTTGCTCTTCAAGACATTGCTCCCAATGAACCCATCACAATCAGCTACGTCGACCTGGTTGCCAACAAACAGGAACGCCAAACAGCCTTGAAAAGTCGCTTTGGTGATACATTCCAATGCACATGTGTCCGTTGCGAAGGCGACATGCGTGCTATTGATCAGCTGCTTGACATGCACCAACCCGAAAATGAGAAGACCGTGGAAGAGCATTGCAAGGCATGGAACGTGTTGACAATGACCAAGAAATACACACGAGGTGGCAGCCCATCGAGCCAATACAGTAGTGGCATGGCAACGCCACGCACATTGGATATCCCCAACTTTACTCATTACACCAGCCGTATTCTTGCTCCAGAGATCTATCAGCATCATCATCATGGTCGTTATACTCGCTCGTATGATGCCGATAGTCGTCGTGTATTGCATGCTCTTGTCAGCCTATTACAAATCCCCAGCGTACCTGCATTCACTCTATCAAGCATTCGAGAAGCACGTCGCTTATTACGTGTGCTGATGGCCCAAGATCGATGGGTGGAAGCTTCACGGGTCTCATTATATCTTTATGTCGTTTACAGTCTACTTTATCCACCATTGCATCCCATTCTCGCTTATCACACTGTCATCCTTGCTCGCTCTTCTTGGAATTCTCTCGTTCAATTGGAACTTGCTGGTATCGGTCGCAAATTGGAGCGCATCTATCAAAATGGTGTCCGCACATGGATTGATGATGGTCGCCATGTTGTCCAAGTCGTCTTTGGTCAAGATTGTAGTCTCTGGCGTGAGATTATTGAACTCCAATGGATCTTTGAACGTGATCAGAAGTTACGCTTGAAGGAATGATGAACAAGATAGACAATCCCCCACAGCTTCAAACATTGTGTTTCAATCGCTCTCTTGTACATAATTTACACACCTTCCCTTCCCTTCCCTTCCCTTCCGCATGGTTACATATAGTAGTATATGCTTTCTCCCCCTTTCGTTTTCTTGTTGTCATTATAATATCAATCAGCGTATACACATGGATGATCCTACATAGGCATCCTATACAATTACCACACCGACACATGTTTTGTGAATGAATGAATACTACTGCTGCATAGCTCATTTGTCTCATTGGACAACATTGCGAGAGTTTCAAAGTTGTAAGGGGACTTTTATGTATGTATGTATTGTCTACAATGACGCATTATTGGGGTTATGGGTGATGGGTCCTTGTTATAGAGATCTGACCTCATTGTTCGATGCCTTCTTGTTCCAGTGATGGGAAATCAATCACTACGATGCATAATAAACAGCGCATGAATTGAATGTTACATGTTGAAGGAAACCAATGTCAGCTTACAATTCTTGTCTTGCACTTTGGGCACCAGCTGTGATGGTAGTAGCAGTTGTGTGAGAAACAATAGTTGCCTCCTCTCTCAGCATCAGCATGTTGATTAACAAGTTCACGGCCTTGGATTTGCATCTTTGTGGATAGGGTGGTGTTGATGATAAAGAAAATGAGAGGTAGGGTATCGAGTCGAAATTATCAATGATCGAGAGACCCTTTATATACCGTGTAATGGGTGGACGTATGGTACACGACAACAAAAGATTTTTGGTTGTCAAAGGTGACATTGACCACAATACTAGCATCATTATTATACCATCGTGTGACAAAAATTATTGCCAAGATGGTTGTCGAGCAACCCCATGCATCATTGTTCGCTTGTCTGAGTAAGAAAAAGTTGATTTGATCGGTGATCCTGCAAGAACCTGTTTATGCAGCAAGACTGCAGCTACCTATCAATCGCAAAACACGCCTCCTTGAACAACATTTGCTGCCTCAGAATGAGGTTAGCAATTGGAATCACCATCAGGATACCAGCATTGAAAGAGGGATTGGTTTCTTAGTACCTCCAACAGGCATGCAATTACGCTATCTTTTACCGCTATACGCTGTGATGGTGGCTCCTATCTAGCGTTTGTTGTCAACCTTGCCATTGGCGAAAACAGTGATCTACGTTAACAACAAACTCAACAACACCGTATCGCTTAGCATATCGCTATATGAGAAGAAGGTGATGGGTCATTGTTGGTATAACGGAAGCTATATGGTACGGTGCTATGTAGACCCCATCATGCATGAAAAGTGGAAATGATACCGAAATCATGTGATGTTGGCTTTTAATTCTCCTTCAACTGCATCACGTCTTTTATTTCTCTTCCTGATTATAATGGGCCGCAAGGAAAACGCTATCATTTATCTAAGGGCTGAGTACCCCTTTTGGTCCATGTAAGCCTAGAGGCTGAGATGAATTGAGCCATGCAGTCAACCCAGTTGGCAATAAAACCTTAGCAAGCAAACATCACCCACAACGCAACCACACTGAATACTACGATGGTATAAATCAATTGAAATTATAAATGTGTATGCATAATCAAGTACTACAGAGGTATGTTTATTGCTCTCATTGTTTAAGGATGAATGTAACATGCTCCTTCTTGTTCGATGCGTGGTCCTCTAAGGTCAATTACTATGATAATAAAACATGGTTCAGCATCATCATGATACCAGAAGAGATCGCTGAAAAGGACCACTTACGATGTTGCTTTGGCATTGTGGACACCAGCTGTTGTGGAAGTAGCCATGTGAAAGGCAGTAGTTAGGCTCAGAGTCAGTGTTCTTGTTAACTGGAATAGCGCCGTGGAATTGCATGTTGATTGTAGTAGAAATGATAGTAGCGGTATATGCAAGAAGAGATGTAAGAGATAGAAGAGTAGATTACTGAAGGGAAGAGATCGGTGATAACGAATCCTTTTTATAAGCAAGAATAGCAGACGAGGACAATGGCCAAAGTTAGGATTCCACAAATTTCACTTCATTGTTTCATTGTGTAACAAAAATGTTGTCAAGGTGATTGTTGAACAGTATTTTACATTGTTCTTCTATTCTCTGAAAGAAAACTGTATTAAAGGGGGGAATGTTGTTAATCTACCATAATGTGTTCCATCTAATCCTTCCTTCCTCGACGGGCAATGGCCTTCGCTCGGTTGTCAGCAAATAACATCTTTGTTGTCACCTCAATGAGATAAGAAATGCCAAAATCAAGGATCATGACGAGCGTCAATTTATCACGGAACTAGTATGGGAAGCATTAGGATACCAAGACATCATCCACATAACCCTCCTTTCAAGATACTTACGGCACCAGGGAATTTGACCAACTTGAGTTGTTCATTCACCTCTGGGAACATCTCGGTAGCACCAGCCAAAGCAATACCACCCACAGACATCAATCCATAATACAAAGTCTTGTTGTCTTGAATGCGTTCACGGAAAGGATAGCCCTATGATCCACCATTTAAGCATTTGCTTACTTCCTTGATGTGATATAGAAGATAACGTACCTGATAATTGATTGCAAAGGTTGATACTTGCATGGAAAGTTGGATAAGGTAGACACCGCTATTCAACAAGCTTGGCTCAAATTCTCCTTCGAGATCCACCTCCTTTGGTCTATGCAATACATGAGCAACAAAGTATATAAAAAAGCGTCTGCCTGAGAATAAACACTTACGGCTCATGGTAGTTAGCTAGCGAGTTGACGTAGATCAAAGCAGCAATGTGAACAGCAAATTGACCGAGGACTGAGAGGATGATGTATGGGTTGAAAATGTTGGGTTGAGGGCGTTCCTTGGATAACTTTTGAAGGGGCTGTAATACATGGAAGTGAGTAAATCGTTCAAAGCAAGCGAGATGATCATGCATACCTTGCCACGAGAGATACACAAGAAGCACACAGCCATGAGCATTCCCGAAATGGTCACTTGCAAATCACCGAATTTGATACCATCAAGATACAATACGGACAAACTATAAGCGGAAATCAAGCAATTCAAGGCAAGGATCTTGTACATTTGAATGGTGGCAACAAGTGTGCAGCGTCCTTGACGAATGATGTTGTTGACTATGGGTGCGTGTGTAAGTACTAGCAACATCATCATCATTTGTGAATTCCAATCTTACCAGCCATAACATTACGCAACTTGGAGGTGAATGGAGCAGCGACCGATGCATCACCAAATTTGATAGTTGGGGGCTCTTCCATATCCATATCTTCCATAAACTTGCTAGTCATCGACTCGAGCTAATACCAAGTTAGTTCCACGCTAGATGCTCAAAGAGACCGATGTATCTACCTTTCGCTTTTGCTCTTCTTGACGACGTTGGGCTACTGTCATGTTGGCATGACGCTGTTGTTCACGTTGAGCAAAGTCGGGATACAAGTGTGCAATAGCAGGAGGAGGTGGTGGAACAGGGGCATTGAAGCGAGCTGCCATTCTCTTTTGTTGCTCATACATATCCTTCAAGCGGTCGATGCGTTGACGTTCAGCAATTTTCTTGAGATCCTCGGGAGTACCATCAAGCAGGGCAACACCAATGTGAGCTTGCTTCAAGGCACCGACATCATTGGTACCATCACCAGCCATCAATGTAGTGTATCCGAGATCCTTCAATCCTGTCAATAAATATTCCTATAAAGTCGTTAGCTCCCTTGTTATTTGATTGGAAATCAAAAAGTACCTTTTGAGATGGTGATACGCGTGCGTAAACCCATGTGTGCTCAAGAAGCAACTTCATATTTGGCTTATCCATAAAGTCACTCATAGCCGAACCAGTCAAGCAAATGTCGTATTGATCCAACAACTTTTGATCCAAGGGCGTATCGGGGTTCACTTCGAAACGAATCGATTCATCCACCGAATGGAAAATAACCTTGTTGTCCAACTTGTCCACAATGAGCACATCACGTTCCACAATGGCAACTTCACGTGCAACTGCACAAGCAGTGAGAGGGTTGTCACCAGTGATCATGATACAGCGATGCGAAGAGGCGTTCAATTCCTTGAGAGCTTCAATAGCATCCTCCTTGAGAGGGCATGAGAAGACAATGAAACCAGCAAAGATCAAGTTGGATTCCACCGATTCACGTGATAGGTTGTTGATCTATAGGATGCATTATTTTAGTTTCTCGTGTGCTTTCTTTACATGTCAAACAGCATACCTGATCTGTGGACAATCCATCTTCCAAGAATTTGTAACCAAGGGCAAGGACACGGCTTCCTTTGCGGGTAAAGTATTGATACGTATCATCATAGCCTTCAGGAACGTTGCTGTACATCTCACGGAGTGTCTCTGGTGCACCCTTAGTAGCAACAAAAGTCTTATGGCGACCAAATTCGGGATGAACGAGGATTGAAACAGATGATTGACGCTTGAGAGCCGAAGAAAATTGGAAACGACGACGAATTTGAAGGTTTTCTCTCTTCTTCTCTTCTCTGGGTGCAACAATTTCATGTGATCCAAGCTCCCATTGCAAGGCTTTGAGTGTTTCCTTTTCCATGGGATCACCAACAATGCCATCCTCTAGTTGAACGAGTGCATGGGCTGATGCGAGTACCCACTTGGTTTCCTTGGGCACAACAGTAGCAGGCTCCAATTGATTGCTAGGCATCTTGGCACTATAATTATATATAAGCTCATCATTCAAAGATACCATTGGCCCATTTTTCACTTACTCTGCCATTGCAACACCTTCAAACACGAGATCTTCACCTGTCAATGTGCCAGTCTTGTCGAAGCAGCAGACATCCACTCTTCCTGCAAATGGGATGCGGAAAGGCTCGGTACAAAAGATAGCTAAACACATTATGGTTATTATCATGCAGTGAATGATCCCCAAAAAGTATACTTACCAAACTTTGATAGAGCCACCAAGCTACTATTGACAGCCATGCTGAGTTCCATTGGCAATTCAGGGGGAACAACGGACGTGATAATAAGAATACAATCCAGAAGCAGCTTCGATCGCTTTCGTCCATTCTCAACGCCCTTTGTCCAAACATAGTAAGAAGCGGCAATGGCGAATACACACAAGAACAAGATGAAAAGCAAAGCTTCGACGTTGTTGGCAGTGACGCGTTCAGTAGAGAAGATCATTGTGCGAACAAGGTTGCCTTGAGATGTACCAAAACCAGTACGAGCAACAACACACAAACAACCACCATCAGGAGCAGATCCATTCTCAGGGGGAGTGACTTGAAGCACCTTGGTACCGCCATAAAGCACATTCAACTTGTCGACATTGACGAGATCGAAGCTGTCATTGGGATTTCTCAAAGCAATCGATTCCTATCATCCATCCGTCAATATTAAAGAACTTTCAAAATGCCCGCCGATTGCTACTATACCTTCAACAGAGGTGTTGATTCACCGGAAAGCATAGCTTCGTTGACAATGCATGAACCTTCAGCAATAACGAGATCACATGGAACAGCGAAATCTTCCTTTGTACGTGCTATTCACAGTGATCATGATTAATCACTTGTATCCCATCAAATCATACCATCTCAACTTACTGATAGACACCAAGTCACCAGGAAGAAGCTCGTCGCTCTCAATCTGGATCCACTTCTTTTCACGCTTCACGTAAACCGTAAAAGGCTTTTGGTTCATGGCACGGAATTCACCAATCGTCTTGAGTCGTTGGAAGACCACTGTTGCTTCAAAGACCACCAGCATGACCAGAGTGAAAAGCGAATAGTACCAGTACTCATCCAAACACCACAAGCCGACACAAAAGATTTGGAACACAAAGAATGGGGCAACTGCATGCTCTTTGAAGAGGTCGACGAAGGTAGGCATAGGAATCTCGAATCTTTGAAAACATCATGGATGAGTACCAATAGCATACATGATACTTTCTTTATCCACTTACCGATTGGGGCCATATACTTGTCGTACATTGTCGACTTCAGCTTTGGTTGTCAAACCCTTGGGAGATTGATATGTCGAAACAGGTGGATTGAGATCGGATGGATACACCAGCTTTTGAAAGTGCTTCTTGTCTGGATTCCAGATGTACTTGTTTTGTTGAAAGTAAAAGCAAATATCGGCCTAATTGACATGGATAGCTTGTTAGCTTACTGATATTCCTTTTGATCTACCCCAATTACCTCTGTATGCTTGATCTCACATAAAGTACCAATTCCTTGATGTCGAAACGGGACAATCTTGATAATCGTAGCCTTGTTGATATCTTTCTCCTATTTGATTACAAATGTAAGAGCCCCATGATCCTAATCCAACACACGTGATTCGATCCTTTACCTTGACGCAAGTAAATAGTGCCTTGATAGAGACACTCCACTGGCAAACCAAGAAGGTCAAGGCGTGTAGGGTCAAAATGCTGCCAAGACTAACAAAAGTCCATTCTTGGGATCCGATATAGACGTCGTATTGGAACAAGTAGACATAGGTCCACACTGGATAAAGAACGCTGGCAAATGGCCAAATGTACAGATGCCAATGCCGTGGCAAAGGTCGGTGCAGCGATGCCGCCGCGATCGATTTGGATTGAACAAGTGTCTGCGCCCTGAATGGGACGAACAATGAGCTATTTTACAGGATGACAAGGGATGATCGGCTGCTGATCCTTACATGGTCGCAAACAAGTTTGGTTGGAATCCAAAACGGAGGAGCAAAGAGAACGACGTGTCAATGAAACGGAACCAGATATTGCCAGCAAATCATAGAGCGCCATTTTTCCCCCGACGCCTTCCCCGCATCTCTGTTATCCCATTGTTCGTCCTTCTTATCACCACCATCATTCCCCCTCGTATGCAGGAATAGTATTCAATACACAAGTTTCAATAAAGGATCCTTTGCATTCGCATTTAATCATCACTTTCACACTCATCAACTATCTACGCTTTTGCCCAAAACGTAGTGTGGTTTCTTCGCGATGACAATTATCTTCATGTACGCATGGCTTAAGCATACGCACATTATGCCTCATCAACGTGTGAGCCTTGAATCATGTTATAGATAGGACGTCACTAAGGATATGATTGATGAGGTATGCTTGTGATCCAAACAAATGAGTTGACGACATCGACGAGGCAATGGTCCATGGAGAGATATCCCAAAAACGTTTCACCCATCATTATAAAGCGTAGCGTGCATCTCATTATCAAATCCCAATATCTCTTACATGTCTCTGTGTAAGGCACTGATGGAAACGTAGCGTAAAAAATAAGGTAATACTTATCTTCAGCTTGATTTGCAGCATCAAAAATTATACTGTAGTCAAGATCATCATTTCTCATCCACATATCAGCGTACATGTATTTCATCTGCTGCATACCATTGTCATCAATCATATGTTCATAGCCACACGCCATATCAGTGAATGAAGAAAAGAAACTTTTTTGGCCGTGTACCAGCCGAAAAGCACAAGCCTACAACCACAGCATTGGATGACTACAAATGCAGCAGGCGATCTGCAAGAAAGATCAACAATGATGCAATTGTGACACAGTTGCATGATACATTGCGAGGTATGTTTCAATCATGGTTTCTGAGCTATGGCAATGTTTCTGGTATCCATGGATACCTGCTGAAGCCCAACATCCACCTTGTCGCTATGGCAAATGAGAATTTTGTTTATCCTTCACCACGCATGACACCGCCATGTCGGGTATGACAAGACTTGTTTGGCGTTTATGCCTATGGCAAACATCCAACAATAAACATTCCACCCCATGGGTTACACTTTTCTTCTGTCAAAAGCTTTGTTATCGGATCCCCACAACACAACACACAACGGGGTGTTCGATAACCCGTGTGATCCATATCATTATAGCCATTTATAGCAATTCTGTATCTTTACGGGAAGATGCATGTGTTTATCCGATTATTCATCTCTTCACCGATCTTCAAGTATACTTGTCGTGCGCGCGCACGATGATTGATAGTGATTACTACTTGGCGGGTGAGAAGTTGCCGAATGGCCGGTAAAGGCAATTATTGTTGCCCATAGATGTCGGAGCAGTAACCAAGCAACAACCCGGTTACATTTCTCCGGCATCACCCATTGGATCGCTTGGGCTTTATCTTTTTACTTTCTCTTTTTCCCTTTTTCGCATGGCAGTGCCTTCTTCCTCCGTTTTCTTTTTTTCTTTTTCTTTATGCAATCACAATCCAGCAGTAGTAGCCACACTATCAGTGTGAATAACAAAGGTCCTCCTAAAGGACATGATGATGATACCTTGGACGACGACGAACATATACCATTGCTTGCTCAGCAACAACAACGGCAACTGTCAGAGTGGAATGTGATCATCCCCCTTTGCTCCATTGTGTTTTGTAGCGCGTAAGATTCATGCTTTAGAAATGAGACTATGTATATACACCATGCTGATTTTTCATTTAGAGCGATTCTTGCACCACAACTACAATTCCTAACCGAGATTTTTTGCGATCGGTAAGAGTGCCGAGCAAACGGACATGAGTAGCACACATGAGCTATAGGCTGATGCGTTGACCTTGCCCCTATCACAGGTATTATGATTCCCGTAGCGAAGCCAATGACGACGATAGCTCTATTCCCATGCAAGATTGTACTATACCCCAAGTTCAAGGCATTGTCGCTACTGCACAAGCTGTAATCCAATTGCTTACCGGTGGATCAAGTACGTGCAAATCACGACATCATCCCGCTGATTCTAATCCATACACCGTTGTTGAATGTAGCATTGCTTGCTGTGAGCTATTTTGGCCACATGTCAGATATCAAAGGCAGAGTTACGGTGATGCGTATTGGCGTGTTTGGTATTGCGCTATTGTTCTCAACATACATTGTTGTTGGCAAGCTGTACAATGTGATTGGCATTCTTCCCTTGTTCGTTGTCTCATCCATTCGGGGTCTTTTGGTGGGCGACACGGGGCTGATGATGGCCGTTCAGACCTACATTTCAGATTGTACAACGACCGAAAGAAGGTAAATGGGGGAAATCGAAAACCCTGATACGTTTGAAAAGCATACTAAACTTAAAACCGTGTACGTGGTCGCACCGTATTAGGACAGTGGCATTTGGGCGCATGATTGCTGGTATCGTTTGTGCCACAATGCTTGGTAAGATACAATCCCGCGATCACTCCTCGGCGTTTTCTCTTGGCAGCTGACACGTTGATTTTCATTGTATAGGCGCCAATGCATCAAGTATGGTCATTAAGGTATGTGCAAATTGAACCCTTCAAACCATCCATGGGTATTAATGTCATGTATGTAGGCATTTGGAACAACGCTTGCTCCTTTTTACATGTCGCTGATGATATCCACGGTCGTATTTTTCGCGACCTACATAATCCCTGAATCCAACAAGCATCAAGAACGTAGCAAATCGACAGCACCAAGCGTATGGCAACAACTCAACATGTTTCGATCTATCAAGACGCTTTTTTCTTTCCAATCGCCGTTGCCGGTATCCAAGTATGCATTGCCATTGATGGCCTCTGTCAGCTTTCTGAACACGGTGGTTATTATGCCACCCATTTTATTATATGCTATGCTTGAGTATCATTGGACTGCTTATGAAGGTGGTCTCTTGATTGGTATCATGTCATTTGTTAAGCTTATCATAACAACGGTCGTCTTGCCAATACTAAACAAGCTTGTTATCACTCGTGGCATCACAAGCGAGGCTCAACGTGCTGACCGCTTACTACGATTCAACATTTGGATGGTACGCATTGGATGTGCGTTCATGGCTTTGGAGCTCTTTGCTATTGGCTTGGCACGTACAGCTTCTGAGATGCTTGTTGCCGTGTTGATTGGCTCATTTTCCATGTTGGGTCAACCATCAGGCCGTGCTTTGTTGACCACACTTGTCGATCCTGCAGATGTAGGCAAGGTTTTGGGTGCCGTTGCCACCGTGGATACAGTGGGCAGTGAGTATTCTTTTTGACATCTCTTGGCAACGATTTGTTCTTGGCTCACAAACCATATCCTTGTAGTGTTACTTGCCCAATTCGGAATGAATGCGATTTATGGTGCAACGGTGTCATTCATGCCTAGCTTTACATTCCACCTTTGCGGTGTCATTGCCACGCTAGCGTGTACTGCTGCATGTTTTATCCGCTACAAGCGATAGATTATACACGCATACATATGCTATCATCTTGTATTTCACGAAGCTCTTGTTTTTTTTGTATCACGTCGTAATTTATTATGTACAGCAGTCTCTTTGGTATATAAATTGAGCATCCTCTTTTTTACTTTTACGCCATTTGTATATGGATACAGACATTGTAAAAACGCTCACTTCAAATACCAATGTCATGATGATGGAGAAGAAGGCTGCATGAGGGCTGTGGATGTGGATGAAGATGAAGATGTTATATAAATGGTAGAAATTGACAAAGGATTGGATGCATCGTTATCAGCATCAGCAGCTGATGGCATAGCAAAGGTAGCAGACGTATCATTTTGATCATCGTTACCGGTAAGTGCACTACCAACTCCAATCAGGATGAAAGCTAATGCAACCAAGGTGCCGACGACGATCATTAAAAGGGCGGATAAACAAGATCGGGTTGTTCGGCGTCGTGATTTGGAGGTAGGCGGCTGGCGCCGAGAATAAAAGTCGTCATTTTGATGATCAACAGCCGTCAATGCTGGTGATGGTGGTGGTTCAGTTGCGACTGAAACGTTCTTGTCGTTGACGAGTGTGCTGTTACTGGTTCCATGGTATAGCGTTTTGGCAAGTTTACGAAAGATCCAAATGTCATCACCATCCCTTGGTGCCACAGACGACGATACATCTTGTTCCTGCATGTCATCGTTTGCCTTTTTCTTCATTCTTTTTCTTTGAAATCCAGGAGAAAGTGGGGGGAGATGGACCAAAAGGTATTCTTGTGTGGGTATTAAAAAAGGAGGGAAAGTAACCAAAATGTATACAGGATGATGGAAAGACCTAAATGATATATATAAAGAACCACAATGAAAGCAATAATGGGGTATACACGATGACAACAAGAAAAGAAGAAAGCGAGTATAAATGTGGGTTCGTTGTTATCTGCGTAAAGACGTTGGCCGAAACCGAGATTCATCATGGGCGGTTGTATTTGCAAAAGCTGGCCGATCAAGGGACCGAATCCCTTGATCTTCTCCTTTGTACTCTTTGTTCCCTTTTATTTGTCTCACTCATCTCATTACTTTTTGATCTTTTCAGATCCCCGTAAATCCCTCGACAATGTGTAATTCTTTAACCGTCATGCATGTCGATCCTACTTTACCATATCAAGCATGCCTAGTTTCCTTTTCTGCCATTGTTATGAACCCTCTTATGCAGGTATACATTACTCAGCTGACATACGAACAATGAAACGGTTTGACAAGGATATCGCGATAAACGTTACCACCTCCCATTTTCTCTATCGCCGATAAGAATATGAACAAGGGATTCGCTTAAGACAAAGGGGAGAGTGCTATGACCCTAATAAGGGAACCACGCGTGAAACAATCAAGGAGAATATGCAGGTCATCCCGACGGAAATGAAAGTGTATCTCAAACAGCCATCATAATGTGCCATCAATTCGGCTCCTTGACGTAAGTCTACTTCATTGACATGATATGGGTTTTTCAAAAGTACACAAGCAATCGACAAGTAAAAGCAATGTAGGTTGAATCTTTTTGGATTTTATTCGCATAATCGCTGATGTGCTGCATAATGCATGACGACATATACCATTTAGGCAGGATCATGGTGAATGTATCTTGCTATTGATATATGTACCAATGGTGAGAAAAGAGCATCATGAAAGGAGGCAAATGATAGAGAGAGGGAAACAAAAAGAGAGAGGATGCGAAAATGCTTTTTTTAGACAAGGGTGAATTCGTAAGCATAATAGATCACAGGAAGAAGAAGGGATACAGGAAAACAAACAGCACCGCAAGAAGGTGGAATGAAAAGAAAAGGTTTGCATACAAAGGGGATGTGGAGAGGATACCATGTGTGTTTTGAAGGGCAACCACATGTGAAATAGTGAAAGGGTGTAGGGGAAGTTCAAGGTGATGGATATTGGCTTGTGAGTAAAGCATGTATAACCGTTGAAGGAAAGGAATGGGAACAAAGAGAGGGATAAAGAAGGATCAGCATAAGATATACAAATGGGTTCAAGTAAATATAATAATGCATGTGGTGTTGACACAAGGGTGTGTGGGTGGGTTGGGTACCATAAATCATCATCATCCCATCGATGTTGGAAGTGGTGGCTCGTCATCTCTGCTGTCATCATCGGCTTGAGAAGTTATCGTTGTAGTAGCAGCACCTGCCGACATGGATGAATCGGTTGGTATTGGTGTTCTTGGAAGGAATAAGACAATCTCCTCTTCTAGACGATGAATGCTACGTGCCAATTGCCGTACTTGTGCCTTCACATCGTCATACGCAACGCTCAATTCTCGATCCATCTCATCCAAGAGCTCCTCTGAAGCGGTATCAAGTGGCCGAATGGGATAAGCATTTCTCAAAGAGTTGAGGATGATTTCAATGGTCGCGTATTCATCCTGTAAATGATGTAAATCTTCTTCGAGACTGCGTACGCTAATATCTTCATATGACAGCTGAAATGTTGGCTGCGGTGGTGGAGGTGGAGGTGGCTCGTGCTGTTGGTGACGTTGATGTTGTTGTGATGATGATTGTGTACGAGAAGATGATGATGAAGGTTTTGATTTCTTCACTGGTGGTTGTGGTGGTTGATCCATGGATAGAGCTGATGTTTGTTGATCAAGTGGATGAGTCTTTCTCTTTCTACTACTGTTATTGTCAATGGATGTTGTCGTCCAAGAGTCAATACATGGATAAGGAGGATGATGCCACAAGAGTGAATGAGGCTCCAATAAATGCTGCTGCTGTTGGTGATGATGATGATGAGCAAATTGATTGAAAGAAGTAAGACATTCAACGTTCATCCGAGTAATAAAAGAGGAGGGGCTCGACATAAAAAGCCACTGTAAATGTCAAAGTCCAAATGAAAGAAAAGAATGAGCAAGGGAAAGAAAGATAAATGAAAGAGAGGGGACCATACATACCTTAATGGAGAGATTGGGTAGCCCATTCTCTTCTGGAAAGGCCCTTGATGGTAGCCTATATATCCTGCGATACATGCATTCGTAAGATAAATTCACCATAACCACGAAATACATCCGGCACCAGCCACACTCCTTTCATTGGCATTGCATGGATTAGAGTGGTAAAGAGAACGTAGCTGATGATGATTTGGGGGGTTGAGAGAGAGAGAGAGAAGGAAGGAGAAGCATCGAATAATGTGTGTATCACATGGGGGTGGAAAGTACATAGTAGTAATCGTAATCAAAGCCGTGGCGTTTGAGACACCGAGAATTCATCACAGAGCGTTGAATGGTGCATCAACCATGTGCGTGCATTGAGACAGTTGAAACCCGATGATATGCAAGCATCTCCTCCTCCTGCTTTTTTTCCCTCCCAGTTTTTCTCCGTACAGGGTCTCTTGACTAAACAGTGCTCTTTTCCGCTGATGCCGCGCTCGTGGTGCCACACTTGAATATCCATCTTCATCATCTATCAATGGAAGTGATGAATAATTTGTCTCGTGCCATCTCATATACACTCCCTGGATACAAACCTTGTTTCTTGGTATCATTGAAAGCGATCGTTGACATTTCTTTTCCTCTTCTCTTCCTCCTTGGATACTGCAGTCGTATGAATTTGGTGCAGGGAGTAACATGTACATGATGCATTCGACAACGTTGTTGATTTTTCCACCAGCAGCAGCAGTGCAAGCAGCAGCCATGGGCTTGTTTGCATTGATCATCCCACGTGCTATCACCACCAAGTAACCGTGCAGCTAATGCAGACATCATTAGAACCCTGTTCGGGAGTATTCGGCTGCATTTTGCAACATGGTCTTGAACTTACCTGGGCTTGCTTGATCATTGCCTAATGTCCGTTTTACCACGTTGTCAGTCATTTGGTATGAGCACGTGCATATCACTTTCACTGACGTTTATGCAGCAGCATGTCGCGCAATTAACGCGGGTCCAAGTCACGTATCACCACCAATGGCGCCGTGGAAATTGAGAGAGAGAGGTCCGCTCCGTGTAGAGTGCTTGCTCCTCCCTTATTCGTATCATAATGCTCGAAGATCCCTTTCAAGAATCAGAAGACAGCTTCATTGTCGCCTCTGAAACTGCCATCCCACCACCAGAGTCTTCTTCTCAACCAGTAGCAGCACCACAGCAACAATATGACCAGGAACAGGAACAGCTGTTGCAACAACAACAACAAAAGCAACAAAGACAACCACTGTCAACAGTGCCACAACCAGAGCCAAAGCAACAGAAGCCTAAAAAGTCAAAAGAAACAGCCCATCAAACCAATGCACCACCCATGCCAGCAGAAAAAGAGAAGGTTCTAGAAAAGACACCTGAAGAGAAGGAACAAGAAAGGCGACAACAAGCACGCGATGTCGAAGCCAACCTTGACCAGATCAGATTCTCCACAACGTACCATGGTAAGTTTGCAATCTTGTGCATCGATGGGCTGTTTATTCATGATACGACTCTTGCGTAGATGATGTATACGCTTATAGGTATGGAGTGGCAGGTGTGAGGAATATAGGGGAGAAAGGATCAACATTACTTAAATAATGCCATGATAGACATGTGAAGCTTCCAAAGGCGATTTCTCGGTGGCTACCGCATTACAAGCCATTGAAAGAATCCGAATGGCGAGCACTCGGTGTGCAGCAATCATCAAGTTGGGAGCATTATATGGTTCATGGTACGTTGACATGGATACAATAAGGGAAATGGACATTGATCTTTTTATTACAGCTCCTGAACCACACATTCTATTGTTTCGCGAGCCCATTGAAAAGTACAAAGCAAGGATGAGAGAAAGAGAGGTTTGTATTGGCCCCATGATGAAGTATTCTTTGCTGATAAAGGATCACTTAGAAACGAGAACAAGAACTTGCTGCTGCTGCTGCTGCTGCTGCTGAACAAGCATCCGAGGATCTTCCCGAGCCATCACGACCAAGCAAACGTCAAAAGGCTGAGTAGTCATGTATACACACGCACCTTATTTACAATTCTCCCCTCATCACAACAACCATTTATCATCTCCTGTTTTCATCCATTCTGTATGTATCCGCACTCCCTACAACTAGCGCGCGCTGTTGCAGCTTCATCCAATATCATCATTTTTCAATTCTCTTGCCTTTATTCGGACGCGATCCACTCATTAGGAATAGCTAGAAATTTGTGATCTTCATGCATTGGGATAGGATATGAAAATGATGCGAGAGGGGATATGCACATCATGCATGAAATGGCTGAATATACATGGTGGGTGACATGATGCATTTGCATTCCAGCCACGGGCATTTTACTTGTTTTGTATTGCTCATGATGATGCTACTGTTGGAGCTTAATGTGTTTAATGCCATCATCGTAATCGTAACATAGGTTCTATGGTGTGGGTATGTACAATGGGTAATAATTGGGGTCTCATTGGAGCTACATGGTGTTGCACCCCAACAGGCTGGATGGACGTGCGCAAAGATACGTTTCCAAGGTTACACCGCCTTCACATGCGTATAGCACGTGCCCATGAAGCAATACATTGCCAGAAAATATCCTCTTTCATTGTATCACTAAATTCATTCCATTGGCCCTTCCACTCCTTTTATTCTTCTCGCATTAATATCACAAACCAATATGACCGATGGTCTCGACATGAACCCCAGCAATGCCTTGGATACAGTAATCTCAACCATGCTCTTTGCAATGTCCACCATCCGCTCCATCATGGCCAAATGCACATGGCTCGCACTGACTCCTCTTCGTTTCTCATGGAACATGACAACTTGGATCATTTCAAACACTATCAGCATTGTTGTTACGATTGCCACTTATCCTCCTGTCACCACCCTTCTCATGGTTATTGGCTGTGGTCTTTTGATTGGTGCCTGTGCCGGATTCGGTGTCGAACTCATCACATCCATGGTTCTATCAGCAACCTGGGGCAAGGAAAAGAAGGCTATCAACGATCCTGTAATGGATATCGAAGGAGAACATGATGATGTGCATCAACCTATTGAGCAACAAGATGACATGTACGATGACGAAGTGGTCGAGATGCGCCTTGGTAGCAAAAAGTCAAAGCATGATCTATTCGATGATATGGATGAAGATGATGATGATGGTAATGAAGATCCTCAAGACAACCATGAAGCAGATGATGCCATGTATGAGCTACTTCAACATCACCTTGCATCGGTAGCTAGCAATACCAACAGTGACGACAATACCCAGCTACGACGCAGGACGCCCCATTGATCAACATTCAATACCTTGCATCACCTCCTCTCATTCACTCTTTGTATTCCATCATCCCTATTTATGCATATTAACTATTGACCTATAATTACAATCGATAAACTTGGATAACTCTGAAAGTTACTAAAGTTGATTACTCCCAAGGGACAATGAACCTGGTCCATGATGATGGATATTGGCTGAATGAAGATAAACAAGGTGTACACAGCTATTCTTGAGATGAGCGAGCTCAAGTGTTGACATGTCTCCTCTTTTTGCAGCTTTTCTCTTCCCTTGAAAAGGTTCTACAACATGGTCATCATCGCTTCAACAATAAATCCCTCGGATAGGATGCTTTGCTATTCATCTTTAAGTTTGATTCTTCAATGACTGCCTGATCAAGCTTAATAAAGTAGCTATTGACATAACCAAGCTATCAGTGATAATCATGTATAATGTCCTCAGTGCCTGAATTACAAAAGGAAGCAAGATGATGATTGAAGGAAGATAGAAAATGAATACGTCATGGGCGATTCCCAGCGGCGTGTATGCTGGATAATGAGGAATGATGCAACATGCGTTTTCATATTACAAGCCAAGCATCACGCTTAGCAGTTGAAGGTGTTCATTGTTATCATACATTTGAGAACAATCAAAGATCTTGTGTGTTTGTTGAATGGCTGAGAGACATAAAACATGTATAAGTTAAGCTGCAGCTCTGCTCCTAGACGCTCCCTACAAGTAAAGAAACAATACGCTGCACATGTATCAACTTGAAAGTGGATGAGGGATATCAATAATGAGGACAAGGTGGATAGATTTTTCTGAAGAGGCGAGTTCAAAGGCCGCTCAAGGGTTGTTGATGATGTTCATGCTGCATCACATCACACAGGCTCTGTTTATTTTATTTGGCTTGTGTTTCCCAGCGATACACAGGTTTTGTGTAACTTTCATCATCAACAATTTTGTAATAATACCTCGAAAAGATGACACGTATCCTTGCATGTTTCAAGATGCAAATGTATCATAACTTTAAAGATGTGGCACCCGCATTGGCACCCGAGTGAGCCATGATGGATATGAAGGTCTCCCCCAATAAGACCAAGTTGTGCTGTGTGTGTGTGTGTGTGTGGTAGAATAACCTGTTACTGCTGACCAGCCAATGAGTGAGCAATTGCTCCGAATTTTTATTGCTCATTGCCACGCCTTTGTTGGTACAAACTCAACTATTCTTCTTTCTTTCTTTTTCGCACTCTCTCTCTCTTCTTCTTTTTCTCTCTTTTCCTTTACACGCGTCTTTTTACTCTTTCAGTCATTTTACAATGGAGCTTGTCCTTACGGCAGGCGATGCACCTGGGACCAGCAGTCCTTTTCCACCTAATTACTCGGCCGGGCCATTGACATGGACCACACCACTCTTCTTAACACCTACTGCATTACTCGTTGGCATTATACTATTTGGACTCGGTCGATATCTGTTGATTACACGTGGCTATCCATGGATTGATGCTGATGCTCCTGGAGCAACTCGTCGTCATTTATCACCACTTTCTCGCTTGGTTGTGGCAGTTTCCATTACGATTGTCTTGACATTTCTCGCTGAAGCTATTGTATTCGCAACACGTGCATTCCTTGAGCATCATTGGACATCGACCGTACTCGTATATTACATTGGCGTCTCATGGCTCGCTTGGATGATTGGATTAATGTGCGTGGCCGACGAGACTCACAAATTCGGTGCATGGAGCTGGGTTCAGTACATGTTCTGGATAATAGCTGGATTGGGTGAAACCATGGTAGGCTGGTTATGGCTTGTGGGCTTGCTTCGTCCAAGACCAGGTATGATGACTATTGGAAGGTTGGGGGTGACAGCAGGAGCATACATAACTAAACCCCCCCCAACCCCTTTGTTTTTGTAGGCACAGTGTTTACTGTTTACGACTATGTATTCTTTGCGGTGTTTGCTACGCGTTATGTCCTTGAATTAGGCACGCTGTTGCTATGCATCATTCAAATGTTTATGATTCGTGCTTCCGAGGAATCCACTCCACTACTCGCCAATGGTACAAACAACGCCACCACATATGGTACATCCACTAGCAACCAACAACAACAACAACAACAACCAAACGCTTCCAAGGATAAGAGCGCATTCTCCAATTTCTTTGCAAAGATGCGGCGACTTCTCCCTTACATTTGGCCGCATAAATCTCGATGGTTGCAGTTTTTGGTCCTCGTTTGCTTCTCGCTCATGTTACTCGGTCTCGGTGTCAATGCATTGACCCCATTACAAATTGGAAGAGTCGTTGATGGCTTGGGTGAAGGAAAAGGTAAAGCATTAGCAAGGACAAAAAGAGGATTCTTATTCACACACGGTGTACCTAGGTACATTTGCATGGGCTGCTGTACTTGCATATGTCGGCTTGAAATTCCTACAGGGTGGAGTAAGTCATCATGCAAAGGGAGGGGGTGAGATTCTCAATGGCTGAATGATGCATGTTATTAGTCCGGTCTTATTCAATCCATGCAAAATTGGCTCTGGATCCCCATCGGTCAATACACCACACGTGAAATTTCAGTGCGCATGTTCAGCCATCTTCACAGCCTATCACTCCAATTCCATATCAACCGCAAAACAGGCGAGGTGCTTCGTGTCATGGATCGTGGAACAAGCAGCATCGTCCAATTACTATCACAAATCCTCTTTCAGGTGCTTCCTGCCCTTGCCAACATTGGTGTCGCTGTCGTGTTATTCTGGTTCTATTTTGCACCAGCATTTGGTATCATTGTCTTTGTTACCATGTCCATGTATCTCTTTGTCACCATCTCCCTCACTGAATGGCGCACAAAGTATCGCCGTACCATGATTGAATTGGACAACCAAGCACGTACCAAAGCCGTCGACTCGCTTTTGAACTTTGAGACTGTCAAATACTATGGTGCAGAATCATTTGAAATCAATCGCTATGACAAGGCTATCGTCGAGTATCAGAAGGCTGATTGGATGAGCTCATCTTCCCTCAACGTGCTCAACTTGGCTCAAAATGCTGTCATCACAAGCGGTCTTTTGGCAGGATGCTTGCTGTTTGCATGGGAAGTTTCGGAAGGCAACCTCTCAGCTGGTAACTTTGTGGCATTCAACGTTTACATGATGCAATTGTACACTCCTGTAAGTGCTCCAAGACGATATGTGCACTTATGTTTGCATAATACTGATAAAGTAACCTTTATGTAGCTTCACTTCTTTGGTACCTATTATCGTATGATCCAACAAAACTTTATCGATATGGAGAAGATGTTGGCCCTATTCGAGGAGAAGCAGACGGTTCAGGATGTGCCATATGCAAAGGAATTGACCGTCAAAGAGGGACATGTCGTATTTGGTATGTGCTCAACGTGAATGTCGTATTGAAGAGAGGGCAAGATTCTTATTGAAATTGTTATAGATAATGTCACATTTGGTTACGATCCTCGTCAAACTGCTCTCAATGGTATTTCATTTTCCATTCCCAAGGGCGCCACTGTAGCACTGGTGGGTCCTTCTGGAGGAGGGTAAGTTGATCAATCTTCTACGTTTGATTCATGCTCATTGTATCCTTTTAGCAAATCAACCATCCTACGTCTTCTTTTCCGATTCTACGATCCCACCTCAGGTGCTATCTACATTGATGGTCAGGATATCTCCAAGGTTGCCCAAGAGTCGCTTCGACGAAACATTGGTGTCGTTCCTCAAGATACCGTATTGTTCAATGATACTATCCTTTACAATATTGGCTATGGTAACTTGGATGCACCTGAAGATGCTATCTTTAGAGCTGCCAAAGCTGCCCAGATCCATGACAAGATCCTTACATTCCCTGATGGTAAATAATAGCCTTGCTTGATTAACGTATTGCTAATCTTTCGCTCTCATAGGATATGATACCAAGGTTGGCGAACGTGGTCTTCGTTTAAGTGGTGGTGAAAAGGTAAATGGGATAGGAGATAGGATGCATAAGTATACATGGCTAACGTATCATGAAGCAACGAGTGGCTATTGCACGTACCATTCTTAAGGACCCACCAATCATTTTGCTGGATGAAGCTACTAGTGCACTTGACACGTGAGTTGGCAATACGCAATACCATGCATCAGGGAACGGAAGTACTCATACGAATCAAAATAGATCGACTGAACGACACATCCAACAAGCATTGGCTACCATGACAAAGGATCGCACTACTTTAGTCATCGCTCATCGCTTATCAACCATTGTTAATGCTGATTTGATCCTTGTGTATGTGCTTATTGATATGCATTCGAAGCAATCTATTGACGTTGGTTATTATTAGGATCAAGGAAGGTCGTGTTGTGGAATCAGGTACCCATGAAGAGTTGATCAGACAAGGTGCTGCCAATAATGAAGGTAAGATTGATGCTTTTATTTAAACGAGGGAAAGGAAGGATGATCTAAGGAAAGGAAAACTAGGCGTATACTATGAAATGTGGCAAAAGCAGCTGCATGAAGATTTGGATGAAGCGGAGACCGTCAATGCAAGCAATAGCGACACCGACAAACAAAAGATCCAGGATGAAAACAAACCCAAGTCGGCACCACCACCGACCGTTGATACCAGCGTAGCAAAGTCATCTGATCAAAAGCAAGTGGTTGAATCACCTACTGAGATGGAAGCTGAAGCACAAAACGCCGGCTCTTCTACCACCACACCCGATTCTACACCAACACCCTCAGTCACAACTCCATCCAACAACAGCAACAAGAATAACAAAAAGAAGAAGAAAAAGAGCAAGAGAGGTTCCACTAAATTCTAAATGACGCCTTATCCCTTGCAATAAAACTCAAATTATGATTCATTCTCATCGTTTATTAAGCATTGTGTTGGAGAATCACCGATATTGGATTGAGAAAGGTTCCCGTAGTATGCAGTGAGAGCTTTTGGATGTCCCTGGATTGAATTCCTTTCAATTTCACATGGACCCAGTTGTATCAGTTGTAGAGGATCAGTGGTTTTGGGCACATAAAAGACAACATTGGGTGTGATTCTTGATGCAATGGTATGAATACGTACACTGGGATTAAGAGTTGTTAATATCAGTAGCAAACCAACAGCATACGTATGAATCTTACCCATTCCCTGGCATCATGGACGCTAGATCATAGTTGGATTCTTTTGAATAAGAAGGACCGCCCCATGGTGGTGACAAAAAGACAACATCAGCCTATCATCCGATTGAACTATAAGATCTCTGTGTACATTCGATAGGGTATACTGGGAGAGACACTGACCTTTAAATAGGGTGCCAATTCAAAAAAGTCACCCAAAATAAACTCAATCTTGTGTTCTACACCATAAATCCTTGCATTGTTTTTGGCACAGTGAAGCTTGACGGGATCAATGTCGATGGCAATGACTACGTAGAGCATGTGCGAATATTTGAGAAACCATCATGGGAAGATGGCAACGAATGGATTTAATATACACACATTCTCTGTAACCAACACCATGAGGCATCAATGCAAAATATCCAACCTTGTTGACACGTGAGTGCAAATTGAATCGTGTTGCCGCCACAACCACAAAAGGCATCAATGATCACATTGCTTGTGCATCGCTGGGCAATGTGGCGAGCAATCTTCTCAGGTGTGACCGAAAACCATCCCTCTATATCCGTGATCAGTAAAAGTGTTGATGCTATGTATGTACTTCTTACCTTCATCCAGCATGATTCCATCGTCAAACTTTGAAAAGTATGAATAGCGTTGAAAGTAATACCTACGTAAGAAACCCAAATCAGTCCACAAGATCATGCTATCATGTCACATCATCATTCAATGACATACTTTTTCAGCTTGAAGGGTAACGTTTTCTTGGTATAAAGCACCGTGATACCACTCACACATCGCGTCTTTGTTGACAAGCACATAGCAGATTTCTTTTTCTTCTTTCGATGTCGTGCTGGTTTGGTTGCTTTACAAGCTTGATCGCTGTCTCTGCTAAACGAGCCATCGCCCTTTGCTGGAGCAGTGGTGATTTCCTTTTGTTTGCTGTGATCGATTGCTTTTGTAATTGACGATGATGGAGTTGAAGAGGATTTGTGATGGTGATGGGTGGCGATCTTCACGTGATTGGGGAAGGGGTTCATCAATGGATCAAAATCAATAGTTGTTGAGGATGATAGCTGTCCTTTTGAAAAACCGGCTGATGATGGCAAAGAAGGTTGTGTACGTGCAGTGCCATTAGAAGATGGTGGTTGCCGTGTAAAATAGGTTGTCTCCATGTTGTTGTCTGATTCAAACGTGTTGATGACGAGCTTATTTGGTGTCTTGGGTTTAGCAGGGATAGCTTGATTTCTACTCTCAATATTGGATGGGTTGCTGCTGGGAATATGATCTTCATCGAGCGTTGATATGCAAGACACAGACCACCGATCGTCATTCAAAGCATACACGAATTGCTTGGCCATGTTGGAAGGACATGGCGTAGTTGACAGGTTCGAATCGCTGATTGAGGAATGAGCAGTCCAAGCTTGAGGAATGGCGTTGTAAGTGGTGTATCTGGTGGAAGAGGCAATAGGACGATAGCTTGGATAGGATTCTCTTGACGCGTGAGGAAAAGTAAAACAACATGAAATAGAGTCCAGTACAAAGCATAAAAGGCCCATCAGAGTATCAAGGGACAAGGAACAACGACACCAATCAAAGAAGAAAAGGAGCTGTCTCGCTTGTTACTGCACCATTGCTGCTGCATAAGAGTTGAATTTCGAGCTCAGCAATACCCCATCTTCCCTCCTCAATGCCCTAGCAACCACGTAGCAACCCATCACGAATTATCCTTTTGTGTACTGCCATCATGCCAAAGCTGCAAAACGATGATAACCAATGACAATGACAATAAAAAAGGGGGTAATTCAATGATCAAACAATGAAAAGGTCTCAACAAAGGAAAAGGTTCCTCCTGTGCACGCAATTATCCATATATGGTGCATGATGAAATAACGTATGCATATCACCCCCTCGAACCCTATGTTGTTTCTTAATGCTTTCATTGGCGAGTTGCAGCATTATGGGTTTATCTCACTAGCCTGATATTGATGCTGGTAGTTTATGTTTATAAAACTCCTTTATGTTGTTGAGGGAAGACAAATTAAATGTACATCAAGGGTGGATGAAACAAGGGAAGAAGAAGAAAAAAGAATCAATGCGTCAAAAAGTGAGAAATGGGCATGCGTGTGTGAGAGTGTGAGTGTGCGAGTGTGAGTGCGTGAAAAGATGCTAGTTGTATGTAACAACTTCTCGAGGCTCGATTTGAAGACTACGCTCATAGAGCTTGTCAACATCACGACTACCTTCCAAGTTGGTCTTGATAAATGCCTGAAGTTCTGGAATGTGTGTAAAGATGTAAGGTGCATTTTGGAACTGGTTGATTTCTCGGATAACTTCAGCCGTTTTGGCACGTTTAGCAAAGTTGATCAAGCCAGCCGATTTTTGGATATAGTCCGCATTGCCATCTTCAATAAACGTCAAATCTTGTAAATAGATACCCAAGAAAGGAATGCAAGGTGGGTTGATGCTATGAATCAAATCACGATACTCTTGGAAATTGCGATTGGCGCCCATAAGTCTGCGGATGTTGGCTAATGTTTGGCTTGTACGGCTGCCTACAAGCTCCCAAGTCTTCTTCAAACGACCAATAGAGCTTGTATCAAATGCTGATATGATGGCCATGCATGTGTTGTAATTGTTCAAGCTGCGACATTTCTATAATAGATGCATGAGAAGATTGTTTCCATATTCAATGACATGTGAATACTTACACTAGCTACCTGAGCCCAGTATTTGATCACAACAACACGTTTCTTAGCCTCATCATTGGAAAGGATGCTGTCGCTCACCCAGCAGGTAAGGCGATTACAATAGTCAATGGATTGTTTGACACTGCTGGCTGCCATCTCGTCATCTTGCGACCAAGCCTTATTCAAACATTCAATGGGACGGATGCTGCTGTATAACTTGAAATCCATGTTTGTCAATTGACGTGCAAGCTCAGTGGGATCAATTTCCATCAAAGTCAATCGCGTAATATCCTTTGGCAGGATAGGCATGGGACCTGGAAGCGTGTTTGGTACCAATTTTTTGAGACCGCCATTAGCATCCTGATCCTTTCGCATACGAATAAGGCGATTGAGCTGGTCGGCTGAGAAGGGAGAAGTATCACGAATCACCGTGTTGGTAAAGAATTCAAGGCGATTGAGAATAAATTGGTCTTCGTCATTGTAGTAGTTCTCGAGCCAAATCTTCATGACATTAAAGACACTACATAATAAAATAGTTACATTAGCATTCAATTTTTGGGGTGTTTGGTCCTCTTTCAATGAGCTTACCGTAAGCGAACGAGTTTTTGTTTACGTTCGGACCACTCTTCGAGCTCCCATGGTGTCAATTCCTCTGTGGGGCGAATGTTGTATCGTTGTTCGAGCAATGACAAAAACTCCTCGGTTGTACAAAACGATCGGTAAGTCAACAAGAACGTTGCAATGAAGCTCGTGTCTAGAAATAAAGCCCATTCGCCATCAAAATCAGCTTATCTGTGATTACTATGTTACACAGCAGCACATGTGCTTACCCAGTGAATCGTGGAGAGTCAATCGTTCCACAAGTGCTCGTAAAGTGCCACCCTTGATATTGCCATCTTGTCCATACACAATCTCCTCGGGTGGATAATCATAGCCGAGGCATCCACCACCACCACCATTTTCTGTTGCTGATCGTGGTGCTACAGGTGGCTGATACAACATCAATTTGCGTGCTTTATCAGTGGGTGCCTTGCAAAGCTCGCCATCGTCGCTGTCGGAATCATCAAAGCGTGCTGATACAGGTGACATTGGCATTTCATCATCATCACGAGGATTGAGTTGTCGATACCAGTTGCGACGCTGCTTGATCATCTCATCCACGTTGGTAAGGATCAACTTGATCGTGTTCTCGACCGATTGGACAGCCTCATTTATATCCTGAACACATTGGTTGGTATCCATTCGGTTGCTGCTGAGCGATTGCACGACCCCAAATAGCACGCCGACAGCATTGTACAATTTTTGCTTATTGACGAGGTAATCACCAAGCGAGGGGATCTTGGATCCATCAATGTTAACCAAATCAATGTCTTCAAGGATGCTGAGATATTGGCCAATTTGCATTGACAAGCTCCTAAATAGGAGGATCACGTTTGAAAGCGATTTTCCATCCTCGTTCGTATTGAGCTCAGTCGCCTTGCACAATGCATTGGTTGAGCCATATACTTGGTTCGCATGGGTTTGTAAACTGACAAGTAGATCCTGATTTAGAGGGTACTTTGACTTTTGACCCAAGCCGGTAGCAATACGTGTCGCCTCAGGATCGAATTCAACGGCTGTGCTGGAAGATACAAGGATAGGGCTCTCACTTGGTGGCGTTGTGGATGAATTGGTATCGAACATAAGCTGCGGCTTGACTTGCTCCACCTTGACACGTCGTTCTTGGCATACAGTAACAAAACTACGTACAGCTGCTAATACGTCTCCGGCATCCCGCTGAACACGATGAAGCATCTCGGGTTGAATTTGTTTGTGTGAGCCTTCGGAAGCCGTCTTTACTGAAAGCACCAATTTCGAAAGAGCCGCCATAACAGCACGATGTGGATCACGAAGCATACGATCCTGCATATGATTCGAATCCTTATCCAGCATGCCTGAAGCATATAACATCATACGAATGGATACCACCACAGCTGATGCATCTTCGACAAAAGCGTCACGTTCGCCACGTTGAGCAGCCATATTAAGATGGTGAATGGCCATAGCTGTTGTGCTAGCAAGCTTATGCCATGTCAAGGGTTCCTCTCGAGTGGGTGTGGTTGGGCTAGAACACGTGCTATCGCCATTGTTGCTAGGGTTGCTTAGCTCAGCTGCATGATTGGATGATTGGCGGCTATGGTGAATGGTTGTACGTCCAATAGGTTCGTCATTGTCCGAATCCGAATCATGTTGGCGATGCTTCTATATAAAGTGGAATCCGGATAAAATAATGTATGTCGGGTTAGAAGGAGAAATCTTTTAAAAGGAAAACACGTGTTGCAAAGACAATAATTACCAGTCGACCGGTTGCTTGGTCAATCTCGCCATAATCCCAGGTAGTCTCTTGTGTCACCAAATTGCAATAGTACGCCCGACCCTGCGGTGTCACACGTTGTACCCAATGGGACATGGCAGCCGATTCTTGCAATGGTGGCGGTTGCTAAACATGCAAAGTTAGCTTATAGTCAAATGCAAGGGATGTTATGTATGTATAAGCTACTACTTGCCTTGAAATCATCCGAGAAAGCAGTGGCTGGTGTATCAACATTGGCAGGCAAAGAATCAAGACTAAGGCGATTCGACATGCGTCGCATGGTAGCAAGACGAGAATGCTGATATCGTTCATCCTCATAATCCTCATCAGAATAATAGCTATCATCCATGGATGCTTCGTATTCGCTATCGTACTCGCCATCAGAGAATCCAAAGCCAGGGTGATCATATTGCATTTTGCCAGTGCGATGATTGTAATAGTAACGAGTTGTACCATCCTCAGCCAATTGTGCTGACCAACCCTCGGGCAAGTTGTACACGCTGCTGCCATCGGATACAGTGCTGTTACTAGTGCGATTGCTTGCTGCAGTCCATCCAAATTTACTTCCATTGCTGATAATAGGGCTCGTTACAGGTGATGGCGATGTTGTTGTTGCTGCTGCTGTGCGTCGTGGCACAGGTGTAGACATATTGGATGAGATGTTACTTAACGTCTTCAATGATAAACGATGTTGTGTGGTGCTATTGCTGCGCTTGCGTCGAGAAGGTTGGCGTAAATCACTTCGCTTGGGATCAACCACAGGAGGTGATGCATTGGGTTTGTTGGTGGGAGCAGGTGATGGCGGCATTGGACCGTCAGGATTCTCTTCAACGATCTCGACATAATTGCTAGGGAACCAGCCTCGCGATCCACCACACCTGAATGCATGTGAGTGAATAAAGAGTTGAAAGTGTGTGTGTATAAACGTGAAAAATTACCATCCATCCCACCAACCCGAGTCCAGCTGGGCAAGTACATCAATGTAGTCGTCTTTGTCAAAGCTCAGGGACGCTGGCTCTTTAGAAGAAAAAGGATAAATGGCCCTGACTCGGCAAATGATTTTCGGAAACGAGGCCATAGTAAGCACATAACATGCCCGAGAAAGGGAAGAAAGAAAAAGAAATGTGCAGAGTGGACAAAGGTACAAGGAATTGCGAGATGATGTCGTACGACCAAGTCTCCATAAAAAGAATCCGTTCCACTATTAACGTGGTATTATAGCAAAGCCCGCCATTTCTTTCTATGAGACAATCACTGCCTATTTGACTCGATTATCAAGGAGAAAAGGATCATCATCCGCTATTCCTGTACCTGGTCGAGCCCCATGTGCCTCTACCTCCCTTATCATCTACCTACTCTTTTAAAATGCTATCATGGTCATGACTACTACTTCCAAGTGTATATTTGTATTGATTTTCCCGCTCCCAATAATGTGGAACCACACCTATAAACCGCAAGTGGACTTCGCCATGCAGCTGCTTGTTTCAAACAATCCATGTATTACGCCACTTTCGATCACTTGTTTCTCCCCCGCATGCATACATGACCCATCCACGTTTTATGTATATCCCTAGGGTCATATAAAAGGAACATGCATCTTCCATGTGGATAATGACAACCCCTCCCCCAATACGTACTCGAATCGCTGCCATTAGCATGATGGCCAGTTACCCTATATAGTCACTAGTCTGCACATCCGTTCTTCCTCTCCATGACAACAACGGAGAGAAGAATTTCGATGAACTTTGCTACAAAGCCAAACCTTAGACGAGGGAGAATAACCTGTTTTCTCACAAGGTTTTTCCCAAATCCACCAGCGGGGTATGAACATCATGATGGCATGGTGCATTTTAGTGAAATGGGGCCTTTGGGAGAAGTTCAACACTAAGCATTGTTCTTTGAATTCATTCGTCTGCTTCTTCTCTTTCGTCATTTGCTGTCCCTGCTAACAATCGTGTTGTTATACCCTTGTTTTTGGAAACCAAGTATGATAAGATACTAGTTTAGCTGTGCTCACGGGACCAACGGCATGTAGCAATTGCCTGGTAGATGATCCATCAACATGAATACGTGTAAAACACCATGATCCACGGTGCCTACCTAATTGTCATTGTCGCTTACAATATACTTGAATAGACGCTGCATTTGGTACACCACCTCGTCTATACCTATATCCTTTCATTGGCTATGTTAACATCAAGGGCTATTTATGCATCTCGATCATGCAATGATTAAATGGTGGTCGTTTGTGTACCAAACAACATGCTAAGCGGCAGGTATTTAGCCCATTGGTGATCGTCAAAGTCTACCACATCTATAAGCACTTCTACTTCTCCCAATAATAAAAGGCGGTATGCATGAAATCAATGAATCCATGAAGGTGTTCATATAACGAAATCCAAGCACCAAAATGAGAAATACCCCAGTGCCATGTTCAAAAGTTGCATGACGGCAGGTTATATTTCTCCCGAGCACCTATTTCGCTAAGATGCCAACACCATCATGCCATTCATACCCCGCTGGAGGATTGGAAAAAGCTCAACAATGCTCCTTTTTCCATGCTCAGCATTTTATGTAGGATTCTGATCATGATGTAATGCATATCAATATTGTCGCCCCTTAATGCTGGTTTGGGGTGTCAGCTTGTATTGATTGATGTGTATTATGGTACTTGTTCTTAAGCTCAAGATAGGATCCACTTACCCTTTCCGCATTGATCAAAGCTCAATCCCTATATTTCGTGCGACATATCGCTGGTAGTACCAGATCCCATGGTACGACTTTTTGTTCAGTAGAGGAAAACGTTGTGTGGCTGCTACCTTGTGTGATGTTATCTGTGCGGCACAGTCACAACGGGAAACGCTGATCCCAACATCTTTGATCCTTTCGTACAGTGCCGAGAAGCATTGCACGTGCTAATGTGACACATACCCTGCTCATTCATGACACCACTTTTTACGATATCGGATTTTATACATACTTTTATTTGCTCGTTTCCATAGATGACATGTGTGGTGAACAATAAGCCGACCTGCCAAACACCTTGCATGGAAAAGCAATCCATGAACTTCAAAGTATGATCCTTCACCTGAATACCTCATGGATCAAAAGCACATGAAGATGTTGTATAATCAGGATTCATTATCAAACCACCTCGTTTATTCCATCTAAGCTACAAGCTGCAAACTAAAGGGAAGGCGTGCATACAATGACTAAGTGGAATACATAATGCTTGCTTCTAGCTGCTTTGCCGTTATTACCGCCGTTGTCGTTGTCCACATCACCATTATCGTTATCTCAAAGATTGGAAGCACAATGACTTAGCAACGCTCTGGGCCATCCTCTCAATGGTGTAAAATCATCTACGAGCAAACGCCTGATCCATCTCTTTTGAAAAAAATCCCTTCTTCCTCTTGGTGACCTTTCAAAGCCCATCCAATCCATCCATCCTGCTGACGACGCGACAAGTAACCAAAGCAACATCCCAAGATCTCTTCTCATCACTGTACTTGATTTCGTCCATCCATGTATAACCATTACAAGTCCAATATGAGCCTCTCTGATCGCTGCTGATATGCCTCCTTTTCCATCTTGCTGTTGATATACCTCTTTCTTGATCATTGTCCATGTTGTTCAACCAGGAGAAGATTGCTTGTATTGGAGCGACGTTGATAGCTGATATGGCATCATCCATCGGCATCTGTACGTATCAAAGCAAGTTGCTGAACGTAAATAAAGTTACCACTATACAACGGCTGTATGCTGTTCACGTAAAAAAGGCTGCAAGGTAGGATGCTGCAAGCAAAGGATGCTGTTCGAGAGTGAAGTAAAGACCTTCCTAATAACAACTGCTGCTACGCTTGGTTGCGGTAGAGGAGTGTGCAAGAGAGCGTGTGTTGTAGTAGAATAACAAGATTGTGAATGCTGTTTGAGACAATGGAGTAAAGACCTCGCTAATAGCAACTGCTGGAATGAATGCTGTTACGATTGGTGTGGCAGAGGAGTGTACAAGAGAAGGAGCAGTGCCAAGGCAGGTGTTGTAGTAGAACGACAAGAGGGCTGTGTACACCCCATGGAGTTGCCATTCAGTTAAAGACAATCGGATCAATGCAGTTGTAGGATTGACATGATGGGTTGAAGCAGGACAATCGTTCACATGCTGTGGATGGGGCAACAGTTGAGAATGGAAGGAAGAGGGAAGAGCTGGAAATTAAGTAGGTTGGATCTGATGTTGAATGATGTTTCTTTGTTTGAGCGTTGTTCAGTCAAATCATCTCGGATCAAGAAAGTTGAAGGATGGAAATGATGGAATGGAGTAGCACAATCGTTCACATGCTTTAGGTTGGATAAAAAGGGTGAATGGGAGGAATGGGCTGTTAGCTGGCACTTTACAAATAACTTTACAAGATGATTTTTGTGAATTTGGATTATGTTTTGTGTTTGAGCGTAACTCAACCAAATCTTCTCTGACCAAGGATGTTGAAGGATGCAGATGATGGGCTGGAGCAGGACAGTCTATCACATGCAGTGATTTGGGCAACAAAGGTGAATGGGAGGAATGGGCTATCAACTAGTGGTTTACAAATAACTAATCAATTTGCTGCCTTTGATGTTGGATGATGTTTCTGTGTTTGAGTGTTACTTGGTCAAATTGGCTCGGATCAAGACAACTGAATCATGGGCATGAATGTCTGGAGCAGGACAATCGTTCACATGTATTGGATTTGACAAAGTGCCGATTGGGAGGAAGTCGCTATTAGCTGGCAATGAGCTGTTACCAAATAGTGTATAAAGTATCATCCACTGCCCCTTCCATTCATGCAAAACTGCTGGGTTACACAAACACGCCCCTCTGCATCTTCGGCCATCCATAGCCATACTACATGACAATGAACAAAGACCTCTTTTCATATAGCATCACGCTTACAGTATATGTAAAACATAAAGGTGCCTGTATCTCTAAACTTTACAATGAAACGTGGGGTCTTTAAGAGAACAAAGCTGCTCATCGGGGTCAAAGCGATCTTGTGTCAAACTATGAAGTCCATCGTGGCCAATCCCAGATTTCGCAATGTCGCTACCAGCCAAACTGGATCCAGGGTTGACCTCTTGAAACTTTTTCGACGACCAAAAAATATTTTTTGGGCTAGTTGCGACATTGAACGCGAAACTTTCACACAAGGTGCTGTTGGCCAAGCCGAGCCCATTGCTCTAATAAAAACCCCACGTTTCATTGTAAAGTTCGGAGATACAGGCACCTTTATGTTTGTAAGCGTGATGCTATATGAGAAGTGGTCTTCGTTCAATGTCAAGTCGCTGGACCCTGGCAGAGCAAAAGATGCAGAGGGACCTCTTTGTGTAACTCAGCTACTTTGCATGACTGGAAGGATGGAAGGATGATACTATATACAGTTGACAAAAGCCCGTACATTGCGAGCTAACAGCCATTTCTTCACAATAGCCACTGTTGTCCACTCTATGACATGTGGGCGATTCTCCTGCTTCAGACATTCATTTCCATGATTGGATTATGTTGATCCGAGTTGATTTGGCTGAGCTACGCTCATACAAGGTTACTTCAGTTGAGCAACATAGAGCATGGTTAGATGTGTGTGATGTAATCCCTCTTTGGCCGTATCTCGGTCAAATCAACTCGGATCAACATAATCCAATCATGGAAATGAATGTCTGAAGCAGGAAATCACATGTCATAGAGTGGACAACAGTAATATTAATGGCTGTTGCTCCTCTTACGAATATAGTATCATCCTTCCATCCTTCCAGTAGCTGAGTTAGCAGATAGAGCCAGATGCAGAGTGGCGCTGTTTGTGTAACAGCAGTTTTATGGAAGGGGCCATGGATGATGTTGCCCATACACTATTTGGCAATAGTCCGTAAATCGCCAGCTAGCACCTTCCTCATTCATAACTATTTCCCGAAACCATTGCATGTGGACGATTCTCAT